AATTTTCTGAGCTATGTCAGACCAGCTTAGAATGGCATTAGCCATTCTCAAATTAGTGTCCACTAGTAGCTGCAATCTTATGGTTTCAAGGTATCTGTCAGGCAAGTGTAATCTTCTTGGTTCTGTCTCATCTCAACAAAAATTTGAAGTGACAGACATTAAAGCCCTCGGCGTGTCACAGCTCTTGGACAGACAGTGTTATAGCTCTTAGACAGATCAGTCTTACAGCTCCGTGTTACAACACAGTTTTATTTAGAAAATAGCAGGAAAATACATCCTCGAGGCATGAGGGAACGCTGATCCAAAGATGCGAAGAGAAGAGAGTCCCGGCCCTTTGGCTCCTCTTTTTATATGTTTTTTCCTTCCCCCCTGGGCCTGCCCTATTGGGCTAGCCAGGAGTGCTGTTTGTTCTACCTGAGGTCCTCACTCCAGTCCTTGGACCTTCCTTTGACTTTGCTTTGTTCTATTTTCGTGTACTTTTCCCTTCCTTGTCTTTTAGCCGTTGTCATTTTGGACTCCTGTTTCCTAGTCTAACTACCTAACAGTATCCTCTTGTAACTATTAAATATTTTAGAGAATAAAATTGTTTTAGATCAGATATTAATCAAAAAGGGGAGACATAAGTAATGGCCAATAGCTCCTGTTGTATATATGTTAATACTACATCAGGAGTTAAAACTTAGATAAAATTAGACAACCGGCAGGACTTCCCTGGTGGCATAGTGGATAGGAGTCCGCCTGTCAATGCAGGGGACATGGGTTTGATCCCTGGTCCAGGAAGATTCCACATGCCTCAGAGCTGCTGGGCCCGTGTGCCACACCTAGAGCCCATGCTCCACAACAAGAGAGGCCACTGTAATGAAAAGCCCGTGAACCACAACAAAGAGTGGCCCCTGCTTGCCGCAACTAGAGAGAGCACGCACGCAGCAACAAACACACAGTGCAACCAAAAATAAATAAATAAAACTTAAAAAATAAACAACTGACTATCTGGTTCCAAGTCTCCCTTGAAGTGCAAGTCCAGACTGAGTTTCAGGCTTAGTCTTCTAAATTCCCAAGGGATTGAGATCTTAATCATACTAAACTCAGATCCAGGACTTAGAAATACTTCCAATTCAGGGTCTATTCTCCAATTTGAGGCAGGACTATGCCTCATTTTAGCAGGAAATGGCCAGAGCCATCATCACCCAGTTTCCCAAATTAAAACTCAGCAGAGTACTGATCCTTCTGTATACCGATCCAGAATATAAATCCTTCCTGTGTCCCCTGTTTCTTGTTTGTAGGATATAAACTTCATTCAGCCTCCTGGACCTTCCCTGAGCTTCAAAGGGCAAATTCACACAGTAGCTAATCAGGAAAGAGAGGCGATGTAAAAATTAGGAATAGTCGAATAGTGGTACAGCTGTGGGGCAAGGTCCTGGCTTCCCCTCAAGAAATATGCCTAACACTACCTCTGAGTTCTTCTGCAGAACTGGAGCCCCTACCCAGGCAGAGGATGGTAATGTCGAGCTGAGCACAAGATTCCTGAAGCACTGCTTTGTTAACTGTACCACCAATAATCAGAGGAAAAGTCACACAGCCTACAGCTATGACCCCAGATTTTGCCTTCCTTTGCTTGGCCCAGCGATGACCATCCTGTTAGACCTCATGCTTGGCCACTGTCTGCTTCAACTGTTTACATGGTTCATTTCTGACAGGGTCCAACAGTTTCAGGCTCAACTGTTATTATTAGGATGAATGCTAATTTCAGGCACAGAATACCTTGATTTAGATCAGGTGGCAAGAGATTTCTACCAGGCAGGGCTATGCCCACTCCCAGCAGGAAGTAGTTACAGAACAAAGAGACCCATGCCCCAGTTCCCAAAGAATATCTTGAGAATGAAGTCTCAGCACGGGGTAGTTAGGAGAACCACTGACCTGATCAGGCAAGATAGTAACCACTTGCATGAGTTATCTTACAACAGGAGGTCCTGGTAAGGAAGTGGAACTACAAGCTACTGCCAACCAGAAGAATTCGGGAAAGGTGAAAGAGAGGAGACGCCAGTCTGTATGATTTTGGCAAGGCAGCAGTGGGTGGTGCTGTAAAATGAGATCTTAATTCCTTGCCCAGGAACTGAACCTGAGTAGCCTGGATGAAAATCTGGAATCCTAGCCACCAGACCAGCAAGGGTTAGAGGTAGAGCTATTTTTCCCTGGAACTTTGCCCCCAATGAAAAAATGTATTTCTCACAGAGGAAAAAACTAAATGCAGGTACAAAGTTTATTTTTAGAGATATAGCACAACCACAGGTGGGAGAACACAGAGAGAGATAGTTTGTTAAGATAGAAGCAAGGCAGAGATGCATACCAGGAAAGAAAGGGTATGTCTTCCTGAATGAGGAGTGTAGTGAAGAGGTGGTTAAGTCATTTATATAGGTCAGTTCTTCCAGGTCTTTGTTTCAGTTCAGTTCAGTTCAGTCGCTCAGTCGTGTCCGACTCTTTGCGATCCCATCAATCGCAGTACGCCAGGCCTCCATGTCCATCACAAACTCCCGGAGTTCACTCAAACTCATGCCCATCGAGTCAGTGATGCTATCCAGCCATCTTATCCTCTGTCGTCCCCTTCTCCTCCTGTCACCAATCCCTCCCAGCATCAGGGTCTTTTCCAATGAGTCAACTCTTCGCATGAGGTGGCCAAAGTATTGGAGTTTCAGCTTCAGTATCAGTCCTTCCAATGAACACCCAGGACTTATCTCCTTCAGGATGGACTGGTTGGATCTCCTTGCAGTCCAAGGGACTCCCAAGAGTCTTCTCCAACACCTGTCTTTGTTTACCTTTAGCCAATTATCTGGTTTCTTTTTCCACATCTGACCTGCCTTAGGACCCTCCCCACTATGAGTGCACAGGTTTTTTCCAAGATAGATTTCAGTCCAGGAACCTATGGGATCACGTATTAGCATCACATATTATGGAGTGGCGCCCCACCCCCTGCCTCCTTTTGACCCCCAAGGAGTCTTTCTGCACGTGTGAAATGTCTCCTTTGCCCCAAGGATGGGAGGTGTGTGATTACCTCTTATAGTCTTTTAATAGGGTTTAGTCTCACTCTTGGAGAGGGCAATGGCACCCCACTCCAGTACTCTTGCCTGGAAAACCCCATGGAGGGAGGAGCCTGGTGGGCTGCAGTCCATAGGGTCACTAAGAGTCGGACACGACTGAGTGACTTCACTTTCATGCATTGAAGACGGAAATGGCAACCGACTCCAGTGTTCTTGTCTGGAGAATCCCAGGGACGGCAGAGCCTGGTGGGCTGTTGTCTGTGGGGTCGCACAGAGTCAGACACGACTGACACAACTTAGCAGCAGCAGCAGCAGCAGTCCCACTCTGTCCCTGCCATAAAGATGCCTAATGTCTGGTTATTTACCCTATTCCTGTTGCTGAGATCTCAAAATATAGACAGGAGTCCGGTCATAAATATGCAGTCCTAGAGCTCATTTGTCTTTTGCTTCAGGAAATGTATAGGCGGCTGGTGATGAACAGCGCTCATCCCAGGAAGCATGAACAGGAGCCCAACTGTAAATGCCTAGACTGAAACCCATCCATTTCCTGCCTCACATATGTCCTACCAACCTCCCCAAATCCTTCTCACTGGAATCCATCTTGGCTGGGTGATGCACGCGCCACCAGAAAGGACCCTTAGAGTAATTTGCCAGAGACAACCAGAAAACTAACTCCATCATCATAAAACCTGAGGCTGACCCAAGCGGCAGAGCAGTTCCGGGTTCTGTTACCCTGCTGCTCTCTGTCCAGACGCCCCTACCTAATAAGGTCTCTTGCTTTGTCAGCATATGTATCTCCTCACACAATTCATTCCCGATTATTAGATGAAAACCCACTCTCTGGCCCTACCTGGGGTTCCCCCTTCCTGCAACATCACTTCTGGCAATCTACCAGTTTCAGGTATTAATGAATGTAGTCAAACATGTTTATTGGGCAACTACTAATGCGGGAGACCCGGGTTCCATCCCTGGGTCGGGAAGATCCTCTGGTGAAGGAAATGGCAACCGACTCTAGTACTCTTGCCTGGAAAAATCCCAAGGACGGAGGAGACTGGTAGGCTACAGTCCAAGGGATTGCAAAGAGTCGGACACAACTGAGCGATTTCACTTCACTTCAGGCGACAGGCATGACACCTAGCGGTGGCGGTACAGTACAACAGTAACTAAGGCAAGAAGGTGCTTGCCTTCAGGCTGGTTCAGGCAGCTGGTCAAAAGAAACAAACCTATAAACGATGTGGTTAAATGCTATAAAGAAAATACACAGGGGGGTAATGGGAGAAAATGCATGTCCTTCTGGTCAGAGGCAGCCTCTCACAAAAGTGACATTAAGGTTGAGACCCAAGCTTGGTCTTCAGGAGGCACTTAATTAAAGACATCATTCCCACAGACCTACTTTTAAAAAACGCCCACAAAAGGGAACGGCGAAAAGTCCACGCAGGGGAAACTCCCAGACCATCAACCTTCGCGGCCAGACCTTGACTGGCACTAGAGGGCGCCGGGGGTCCTCCCAGGACCAAGGAGGCGCCGTGGCCAGAGGCCCTGCCTAACTGACCGCTGGCACCTGCCGCGCTAAAGCCCCAAAGGCTGGAGGCACACGGACAGAAAACAAGGGCGGCGGTGCCAGGAAACCTGGAGGCCCTAGAGCTTCTCAAGGGGTAACCAGACCCTCAAAGAGCGAACTTCGCAGAACCACAACCCAACAAACGGCAGATACTCCCTCGCTCCCTCTGGGATAGCCGGGTTCCGGCGCCTCTAAACCAGGAAGTGCTGGAGGCATCCAATCCTAGACCTCCTTCCGCTCTTAGCCTTCGCGTCCCCAGCTCGCTGCGGGGGCGCGTGAGGCGAGCGGTCTATGGTTACCAATGAGCGCTCAGGAAAGGCGCATGCGTTGTCGAAGGAACGCAACGTACGGGAACTTTGACCTGAAGACGACTTTCCTCTATCTGCCCCTCCCTCGCTGCGAAGATGGCGCTCTCCAGAGTGTGTTGGGCTCGGGCTGCTTTGTGGGGTTCGGCGGTGCCCCCTGGACTGTATGTCGTCCGGAGGCTGCAGTTTGTTCGCTCTGGCCTGACCTGGGGGGCCCCTCGGTGAGGGACTTGGAGAGAGAAAAACATTTTTGACGTTCATGCCCTGCCAGTGTCTCAATATTGTTTGCATGCTGTCTTAATTTTCAGGGCTCCACGCCCTGGCCCCTGGATTTTTATTCTTCCGCTAAGAAGTCGAACCCGTATCCCTGCTAGAGACCTGGCTTTCTGACCCTCTCAATTCTGAGCGCCGCGTGTTGTTTGAATTCTCTACGTGTCCTGAGCTTCCCTTTTTCGGCTCAAGATTTTACTGCTGCTTACCTGGATCTCACCCCTCTGGCTTTAGCCTGCTGCTTAAATTGTCCCTCAGGCCTGCTTTCTCCAGGCTCACCACTCCCCCGACATTCATTTTTGTCTGGCCTCTTTATCTGCCTTATCTGTTTTTCTCAGTCTAATTGCTTATCTCTCCGCGATCTCAAGATCTTCCTTGGATATCAGAAGTTTCAGGTCTTAGCATACATTCTCTGAAGCCTGTGTTTTACATTTACGGACCCCTGCGGAGAAGCGGCTTCCAGGGCTGGTTCCCAGATAGTCTCTTTCATCTTCCTTGTAGGTCTTCAAAGCTTCATCTTTCTCCAAAGGCAGATGTGAAGAGCTTGATCTCTTATGTGGTGACCAAGGCAAAAGTGATTAATGGGAAATACCATCGTTTCTTGGGTCGTCATTTCCCCCGCTTCTATGTCCTGTATACAATCTTCATGAAAGGTAAAGACAAAACTAAAAAATCCATTGGATCAGCTCTTGGGCAGTGTCAGAGAGAATAAGTAAGATCATTTCCGGCTCTGCCTGGGGGAGTGAGCTGGTGTGTCTTGTGTTTCATAAATGCTTGAGCATTAAACTACTTTTTATAAGTTAGATCTTCTTGAGGATGTTTCTAAAAGCGTAATATGAGAAACCTTTCACAACACATAGGAGGAATATAGGTATTTTTGCACTTTGCTTAACCACACATCTGCCTATAGTAGGAATTATTTGTCATGCACAAGGCAGAGATCTGCACAGACCTGCCCTGTGCTTAATAAGTTCACTTGGCTTGTAAGAAAATGTGGTTTAATCTTTGTCACAGATCTCTCCTTGGTGGCATGTTGTGAAAAGAGCACTGTATGTACTTGGTTTTGGAATGTTTCAGTTAAAGTCAGAGCTCTGCTAGTTACTAAGAGATGGTATAATGTCAAGCATCCACTCTGAAGCCAGACTGCCTGGGTTCAAATTCCAGCTTGTCACTAGCTGGGTGATTGAACTTGTTACCTAGGCTCTCTGTTCTTGGTTTTCTCATCTGTAAAATGAGGGTAGTAATAGAACCTACCCATCGACTGCATGGTTATGAAGATTAAATAAATTCTTACATGTAAGCTCCTTAGGACCTGATTCATAGTACGTTAAGTGTAGCTATAACTATTATACTCTGTACTTCTATTGTAATACCAATTATAGTTAACTTGCACATTGTCAGCTCTGAATATTCTTATAATTACTACTAGCTTCATGGACTTGTAAAAGCTGTACAGTGGAGATGAGAGTGGCTGCTTTGTCTGCTCCCCAGCTTATACTGTATATTTTCTTTCTAAAAGAAAGTCTGAAAACATTTTGGTTGGTTGTTTTTAAGCCTTATATTCTGAAAATTTTTAAACATACACAGGAGTAGAGTAATATAATGAACTTTCACATTCTCAACCTCACTTCCACAATTATTGACTCCTGTCCACCAGTCTTATTTCATTTATACATTGACTTTCTCCTGTATTACTGTGAAGCTCACCTAGATATTATACCATTTCATTCATAAATAGGAAAGCATTTTTAAAAACTAAAGTCCTAGATCAGTGTAAGGGTTATCTTGGAATGGAGAGAAAATGCAATCTTGGAAGTGTTTTGAATTCTAGTAATCATAAAAGTGTTCTAGAGAGGAAATAAGTTAATATCTGGTTGAGAAATACACAGGATAAGTTGGGCAAGACTTACTGAGGTTAAAGATCATTGAATTTTTATTTTAAAAAGGGAGTGAGTAATGAACCAGAAGAGGGAGACCATTCCCTGGTAGATCAGAGAACACCAGCTTGGCAGGAAGAGAGGTGATACTCTAGGGGCAGAGGTTGGTAGGAGGCAGAAGGGAGAAGGATAAGAAACGAAGAAATATAGGTCAGCCTCACAAGAGTTTCAGGTGACCTAGTTTAAAGCTTTGATTTAGAGTAGTGTTGGGGAGGGAGGGACAAGTGTGTCTTGTGGGTGAACGTGGAGCAAAAGTCTGTGGTAATCAAGTTGGGATAACATCACACTCTGTCCTCTTCTTTAATGAGGCAGGATTGCAGATGTTTTGGGCTGATGCCAAAAAGGCTAGAAGAATAAAGACAAATATGTGGAAGCATAATATAAAGTTTCATCAACTTCCATACCGGGAGATGGAGCATTTGAGACAGGTATGCACCAAGGACAGATATCTGGAAGTTCATGATGAGATAATTAAAGTTAACCCAGATCTCAAGTTTTTTCTTTCCTATTTTCTTCACTACTGATAAAGTTGTTGCCCCTTGCCAGAAGATCAGATTATTTGACAGAATCAATTCATTTGTGACCACCGCCCTGCCACACCCCCCCACAAACACAGCTCCATAGAGTTTTTGGCACACTTTCTGGATAAAAGTTGTAAACAGTAAAATCCTGTTTGTTTCTGAACATACAAAAATCTGCACGGAAGGATCCAAAAGACAGCAGGAAAGTAGTATTTGGTGATGACTTGTTGATAGATTTGAAGCTGAGAATAACAGTCTGGGACCCATTCTGTAGATCAGGAAGAATTTACTGAGGAATTTGGTCTAATGTCAGGTCCTATATTAGACAGTGTTTGGAATACAAAAGTGAACAGACAGATCAGGACTTCTGTCTGTAAGGAACTTACTAACCAGAGGCAGATAGAAATAACCTTGATCTTTATCTGGGCTAAAATGGATGTTTACTGCATAGTGGGGTGGAGGGATTGTCCATTGTATCAAACACGTGGGTTAAAACTGCATCTGTGTTTATTTCTGCTTAGTTTCGTCGAGACGTCACCAAGTGTCTTTTCCTAGGTATTCTTTCCATTCCACCCTTTGCCAACTACCTGGTCTTCTTGCTAATGTGAGTACAGAGTTCTGTCTCCCCAGCATGTTGAAGATATGTAGATTTTTTAAAAATTAGAAATTAAGAGCTTTCCATTTCAGAATCTAGGCAAAGGTTACCAAACTTCTTTTCCAGTTTTCTCTTTAGGCCAAAGTTCATAAAAGCCACCTGGGTTACTGGAATGGGCTGTAGGAGTAGATGTCCTGGCCTCTTAGCTGTTCCTCTGTGATGTGAAATTAGAGAATGATCTTTTCCATCATCCCTAGAGGCACAGCCCACTCCCTGAGAGGCTTAGCAACTTAGGACATTTTTTTTTTTCCCCTTCTGGAGAAAAATTCATTTCTTATTCTGATAATACCAATCTTTATTACTTTATCTTATATCCAAAGATGACAGTTTTAAACTATGACCTTACATGCTAGACTATCTGTTGCTATATAACAACCTCAAAGCTTAAAAGCTTGAAACAGTCATCATTTTCATGATTTTATGGGGCAGGAATTTGGGCAGGGCTCAGGTGGGTGAATGATTTTTCTCCTGCATGGTGTTGACAGAGGTTTCTCAGTAACACCTAACTGGTGAATGGACTAGTCAGGACGGTCTAAGATCACTCTTAAGGCCTGGTGCTTTAGCAGAGATGGCTTTGGAAGACTGGGACTGTCAACTCAGGTGCCTACCTGTGGCTTCTGTAGTGTGGTGGCTTCAGGATAGTGGGACTTCTGACATGGCAGCTCAGGGCTCCAAGAATGACTGTTTTAGCAAATAAGAATCTGCATGACCTTTTATAACCTAGCCTTGAAAGTCACAAAGACTGACTTCTGCTCTGTTCTCTTGGTTGATGCAGTCACTTGTAGTTTAAAATCCAGGGACATTAGACTTCACTTCTCAATGAGAAGAGTGCCAGGGAATTTGTGACCATGTTTTAAAACCACCACATCGGTAGAGAATTGAATTAAAGAAATTCCATTTTGTAAGCACATAGGGACAATGAACAGTTTGAAGTTGTCAGCATCACAGTGATGCTCTCCAGCTCTGAAATTCTGTCCAAAATATGTTCTTCACATGCTTTGGCTCAAAAGGAGTCATTTGTCTGATTGCTGTGTGCAAGGCTAGTCCCTTGCACTGTTTCCTTTTACATAAACTTCAGTAATATTGCTTGAAATCGGGCTTCAGTGTATCTTTAAACCTTGATCTGACTCTCATTTTCAGGAAAGAACGGTAAGGTAGGGAAAAAGTGTTTCCATCTCTTCCTCCTAGCATTCCTGTCTTCTAAATGCTCACTTTGAAAGATGCTAGTTTCAGCAAGTGATTTTGTGATTCCTTTTCTTTTCAGGTACCTGTTTCCTAGGCAACTGCTGATCCAACATTTCTGGACCGCAAAGCAACAGATTGATTTCTTAGATATCTATCATGCTCTCCGGAAGCAGTCCCACCCAGAAATCCTTTGTTATTTAGAAAAAGTTGTCCCTCTCATTTCTGATGCAGGACTCCAGTGGCATATGACAGAGTTGTGTGCCAAGGTATTCCTCCAGTTAACCCTTCCTGCAAACCAAGAATCTTGTTAGATGCAGTGTGCACTAAAACTAGGTAAAAGGACTAGTCAGGACCTTCCTAACATCTACCCATCTCTTACCTCTCCCAAGATGCAACATGGTACCCACCCAGCAGTACATGATATCCTGGCTCTGAGAGAGTGTTTCGCTAACCATCCTCTGGGCATGGACCAGCTCCGTGCTTTGCAGATGGTGAGCACTTTGAGGCTTTCTCTCTTCCACGGCCTCACCTCACTCCAGGTCTTAAAGTAACACCGAGTTGACTTTCTCCCCCGTATTGTTGTGTCACAGAAAGCCTTGAGTCGAGCCATGCTTCTCACACCTTATCTGCCTTCTGTCTTATTGAGACACCGTTTAAAGACTCACACCACTGTAATCCACCAACTGGACAAGGCTTTGGCAAAGCTGGGGGTTGGCCAGCTGACCGCTCAGGAGGTGAAGTCGGTAAGTGCTTCATTGCGGTATCAACCCGCAGTCCTTAGTGGGCTCTCAGGGGCTGGGAGTTTCTAGGGAGCTCCTGTCTCTCTCATTACATCAGAGTTCAGGCTCTTCATTCTCTCATTTCATTTCTACATCTTTTTTCTTGCCTGAACTTAACTTGTGGGAAGGAACTCCCCACAGTAATTTTGGTTGATGTGTCTTTTCTTCTGGTCCTTCAAAAATCAAGAATGCTACATTTTAGATCTAATTGATTTAGATTGTATAGGCCTTTCCACTTCTCATCTTGTCCATCAGAGTTCATATTGCTATGGTGAAAAGTTTCTTGTAGGATTGAGGTTTTAGCTTATTTAGAGGGGATTTGGGATTCTTTGTGGGTTCACACTTCCTTGGCATACTCGCCCTGTGATAGTTAAGGATTGTTTTCTCTTCTGAGTGGTATAGGCTTGTTATCTTCGTGGCCTGAATTCCACCCATATTGCTGAAGAGAGGTGTCGAACTTGGCTGGGAGAATGGCTACAGATTTCCTGCAGCCTGAAAGGTAAGACAAATCCCTATGGTTAATGCAACAAAAATCCAAGTCATTTTTGTATTCTATTCTAAGGTAATTTGGGAGTTAATTATTAAATAGTGTGAGACCTTTATCTGACTTGTGTGTCTAATTGAAAGGGCGCAGTCACTTGCCTACAGGCAGCTAATGCAGTAGACTGTGCAAGACCAGAGGGAGGACTGGGCATTGTGGGGGTCTGAGCATGAAGCAGGGTTTTCAACCCTGGCACTATTGATGGCTTTGTTGTGGGGGGCTGTGCTGTGCACTCCAGGACAACATAGCGATATCCCTGGCCTCTGTCCTCTAGATGCCAATAGCATCCCCCTACCCAGTGCTGACAACCAAAAATGTCTCCAGACATTGCCATGTAACTTGGGGAGGGAGTACAGAGCAGAATTGTTCCAGGACAGAAGTACTAGTCCAAAGCCATTCAAATTCAAAACAAAGACACTCACCTAGCTAAATGAAAAGTACCCACGGATGGGTGTTAGGCCTGTGGGTCTCCTGTTTGAAACCTTTGCCTAGTTATTTTCTAAGCCTCTGAACGTCAGGGTAGGCTTCCTAATCTCCTGTGGCTGAGAAATGTCCCTTGAGGACCAGCTTCTACCAGAAAAATCCTAAGGGTGACAGTGGTGTTAAGTACCATTACCATTAATGACTTTTCTGCTGCCATCACATGAGAATCAAGTAAATACAGATATGCTTAAAAGAAAGCAAACCTGCAGGGACTGGAACCAAGCAGTGGGACTTTGAGGACAATGGCCTTAGTGTCTCACCTCCTCGCACTTGGCTTCCCGCCTCTGGTATCACGCTCTGCACAACACGGTAGCTGGAAGGCAAACTGTTCCCTGGCCAGACTATTAACGTTGATGGTGTTTTCAGAAACTGAGCTGTCCCTCTTGCTACACAACGTGGTCCTGCTTTCCATCAACTACGTTGGGTCAAGGCGCTGAGTGGACGGGCATGATGTGGCTGGCATCATCCTGCAGTCACAGCCCAGCAGCGTGGGACCAAACAGCACTTGTCAGCAAAGTCTGTGTGCACTGTTAAAGTGTGTGGGAGACAGAGGAACCTGTGCCATGGGCTTCACGGCGTGGTGCCCACGTGGGAGCTGGAACTGAAAAAAACCCTGTTAGTGGGGTGGCGCGTGAGAGGTGCCATCCCAACTTCCTCAGAATTCGCTGGAGCTGGCAGTAGCCTCTCTACTGGTCTTAACTGTGCTGTTTTAAGTTCAGGTCCTGGGAGGCCGAGCTTTTGCCCCAGGAGGGAATCCTCATTTGGCCTGGGACTCACTCGCTGCTCTAATCTTCACAGCTGTTTTTGTTCAGGACAGGTCCTGGCTGGTGAGGGGAGGAGCACTGCTTATACTGGAGCCTTTACATCCACGCATGCACTTGGATGCCCCCCCTCAACACTTTTGATATGACCAAAAATAGGGATTTGTTGCTTCTGTTGTTCCCCTCCCTGGGACTGGAATAACCACTTCCCGTTTTTTCAAATCCTTTCAGCACTTTTTTTTTCTGTAAGTGAATAACTTACAGGAACAGTCTAATGGAAAAGATAAAAGGAAATAACAAGTGCTTCTTGACTTTCTCCCTAAGTGTTTACAGCCTTCACTTCCCTTGTCTTAATTTCTGGGCTGTACTACAGCCCCTGTGGATCTTAAACTCTTTGCTACCTCCACTGTGTTGCAGCGATCCATCTGTAACTGACAGTGGCTGCCTTCTTTGGTCCATGGATCAGTCCTGTTAAGGTACTAATCACTGCCCAGCCCCAGAGGTCTACACTGAGATAGTTAAGTTGGGTTCAGCTTTTCTCTGTGTGTATCAGTGACCTGTAGTAACTTATTGTAAATGCATGAAGTACTGTTTCTAAACTCAAGTAAAGACTGCCTGAAACCAGTTGCTGGAAATTATTTACGCATCTCCCAATTACTAAGGCTCCTTTTACAGGACTGATTGACATAACCTAACTAACGGAGAGATAATTGGTTGGAATAGAACCTTCTGATGGGATGTTAATAACAAAGAAGGTGATGTGAAGTTAATGCTTTTGCTGGATTTTAAGACAGTAAACAGGAATGTATATATATACACACTATATATAAAGTCATGGAATTGAGAAGTGGGCCCCAAGAGTAGGGACTGAGTCAGCAAAGCTCCAACAGGGCAGATCTAGACTTGCTTCAGCTGAAGAGGCGCCTAAGGGCACATGATGCAAGTGAAGCTCTTGATGCTCCAGAGAATGTTCTATTTTTCCACAGTAAAACATCCCTATTGTTAACATTAATCCTTAACTGACCTAATTGGCTTTATATATAGTACTAGAGAAGCATCCTTTCTCTAACAAGTAACTGAATTGTGGTCTGCCAAGATAAAGAAGAAAACACCATTCATTCGAATATTTCTTTAATATTACATTTAAATATTTTCTTTAAATACAGCATTATCACAATGTAAAGGACCTAAAAGGCAAAAAAAAAAAAAAAAAAAATTTTTTTTTTCCAGAGAACCAGACAAGCTTTGGATTCACATTGAAAATACTACCTGTGTACAGTGAGAAAGGAAATTGGAAAATATTAAGAGTTGTAATGAGTGATTTATCTAGGTTTCCTTTGTCCCACCTAGTCTAAGCAGTACTGAAGCTCTGCCTTTGTGGTCAGTAGCCTAGCCTTTCTAGCAACCATGCTCTGTAATTCTGTCTGTCCAGCTCAGGTAGCACCAGAAACGAGATGGACTAGGTTGTAGAAAAGGCCCTTTGCTTGACAAGATTGTTAATATTTAGCATTTAAAAGGTTGGGACAGGTGAGTCAGAACTGTAGTTAATGAAGGGAGGGATTTATTATCTTGGGGGTTGGCAATGAGTTTAATTAGTTTGAGATTCTTGGTCTGATCCCAAATGTCTTATTAAACAGGTGAATCCACTTCCTAGCTTAGGCTAGAGCCCTTCTAAGAGGGAAGATATAGTACTCACCCTCCCCTTCCAATACAGACTTCTAGAAAGATTCATCTCCAGAGTCAAATTCCCAACTAAACTTCAGTCTTGTCTCTGAGGGGACCAGTCTAAGGTGGTGGAGTGTAGCTTAGCTGAGGATAGCACCTATTTCACAGGTGCTTAGGACTCTCGATTCCATTTTGTGAGCCTAGAGGAAGAGAGAGATAAGGGTCTATGGCTTATTAATTCACCTCCAAATGTAGAACCAGCAAAAACAGGAATGAACAGGAGAGGAAGGATAAGTTAAAAGGATGTATCCATGTTGAATATAAGGCCTTTCAGGCTCAGTTTAGGTTTGACAGGTGAAATACTACTGTGATATACATAAAGGTTGCTTTCTGACACTGGGGCCTTAAGATCCCACAAGAAAAGGCGTTATATGCAAGGTAAGTAGGTACAATTACCTTCTTCACCAAAAAAAAAAAAAAAAAAAAGGTTTGTACCTTGTTTTTTCCTGGTTAATAAACCATATCAGTAATGAAGCATGGTGTGAAGGATGCTAGAGTGTTTTGCTCCCTACTGCCTCCCTTTTCAAACACAAAGAGCCGTAAAAAAGAAGAATGATTTAAAACAGAGGCAACAACTTTGCTAGTGAAAAGAATTCAGTGTTCAGTGGAGCACATCCTGGAACACAAGCTGGACATAAAAGAGCAGAAACCATGTCCCCCCTAATAAAGTTACAAACCGAATCTGAGTTCCACTCTATAGACCTCAAAGGTTACAGTTAGAACTTGACTTCTTAGAACCTGGGAGCTGCAGGAACCATTCATGAACTGGTTTGACTTCCAATCTTTATATATCAAGATGGAGGGAGCCAATAAGCATTTGCAATTCTTGGGAATAGTATGCAAATATAGTAATAAGAACTCTAACCCTGTATATCCAAGAGGGACCAGGAAGGTAGACCAAAAAAAGGGAAAAAACAAAAAAGGTAACACAAAAACACTAGTTGGTGAACTTGCCACATCCTACATTCCTTTAAAGCTTAATTTTTTGGGGGGGAAGGGGTGGGGAACAGGGCTAGGTGAAAAAGCAAGCATGGCACAAAGAAAGTCATCTTTCCAGACAGCAGCCTCTTCCTGCTGTCTCCTTTGGACATAGGTTAATGCTCCATATAGGTCTCCCACGGGATGTGTGAGCCCCAGATTAAAGCTGCCTGATGGAGCTGTGGTTAGACACATAGGGAAGATTGGCTCTTGATGCCACATCCCCAGCCAATCTAGCTCTTTCCCTTCAAAGGAAAAAAGACAAAGCGGGGGCAGGGGAAAAACAAGTTTAACTCTAGTACCTAAAAACATGTGAAAGAAACACTTCAAGTTAAGACCAGGAATCCCCAGTGTGGGGAACAGGTCAGAGAACAAAAATGTCAAATAATAACTTATTTACCAAATAAGGGGGTCAGGGAAGGCAGGTTCAATTTTTTTAGATCTTAGAGGTTTTGTACAGAAGCAGAGACACTTTCATCCCCTCCTCTGTAGATTCAACCAGCTGATGACTCCAAGTGTATTACTACAATACACCAAAGTGGGCTATCAGTAACTGCTGAGGAAGGTGAGCTTAACCCTGCCTGGAGCTCAGGAGAGAGGAAGGGGCTTTGTCATGCTGTTCAAATTGTGTTCTGGTCCCTACGTGAACAGCTGCTTGAATTACCCAGCTCCTCCTGTGAGATCCTAGTTCTTTGTTCCGAAGGCCCAGAAAGCTCAGGATGCAGCCGCCTCTGCCCCAAGACTCTGTCCCCTGATCGAGCTGGGGCTGGTCTCCTTGGTTCTGTTGGCCCTTTAAAAAATACTTGTACAAACAATCCTTTCCCACCCTTTCCCCAAAGACCCCAATAAAATAACATAGGAGCAGCAGCTGCTTCTACAGTTTTGTTTTTGAAATGGTGTTAGATAAAATAAGGGAATAAATAGAGAACGGGTACGAGGCAGTCTCCGTCCCTGCGTCACACTGCCAGGGGGGGCTCCAGGGCAGGCTCCTCCGGGGGCCTGTCCTCACTCTGCGGCGCCGTCTTCTCCACTGCACAGCCCTCTTCGCTGTCCGTGCACGTGGAGAGGTTTGAGGGGGACCAGGAGGGGCGAAAGTCTTCGCTCTCAGGCTCCTCAGGGTTACAATCTTCGGGCACTAGCGCTTCTAAAGTGGATGTTTTCCCCACCTCTGATTTACAGAGGGCAGCTGGGTCTGTGGGGCCACAAGCCACCAGTGAGGTAACAGGGAGAGAGAAGACATTCAGATCCTTCTCCTTGGGGAAGGAGGGTGCGACTTCTTCCGTCCCAGGCTCTCCTTTCACCCCCAGCACTGGCCTCTGCTCCACCTGGTAGTAGACCAGGGGCCCACTGTTCAAGTAGGATGGGTTGTTCACGGCCGAGGCGGTCGGGTGGTCCGAGTTCTCGGCAAAACACAGCACGGAGGAGCCCGGGGGCAGCTGAGCCTGGATGAGGATGGGGGCAGTGAGGCCCGGGCACAGCTCCTCCGGGACAGCCAGGGGCTCCTCCAGGATGCACACGCCCAGGCTCTCGATGCCGGAGTCCAGGCTGGCGCCGGAGCCGCTGGAGTCCTCCTCCGCCTTGAGCCGCTCCAGTTCCTCCGCGCTCTGCAGGTGCATCACCGCCGTCTCGTTCTCGGCAATGAACTCCTGGAAGTCCTGTGTCTCCGCACCCTGTGCTCCTGCCAGGCTGCAGCTGGTGGTGGGCGAGGGCTCCTCGTCCGGGGCTGGCGGGCGGCTCACCTGCCGCTTGCTCTCCAGCTCCAGCTTCATGATGGTGTGGAGGTAATGAGTCCGGACCCGGATTGGATTGAATTCAATGCGCCCAGCCATGTTGCCACAGCCATCCCGAGAGCAGCCACACGGAAAGGACATGCGATCCACCTGAGGAGAAGACAAGGTGGTTGAGGCCAGATGAGATAGGAGACGTCAGCTGGCGGACACAGCGATTCAAAGTCTGAGGTCTTCTTAGAAGAGAAACAACGGACTAAAAACAACCTCCTGGGGGAGAATGAATACACGTATACGGTGGATACATGTACATGTATGGCTGAGTTTCTTGGCTGTTAACCTGAAACTATCACAACATTGCTAATTGGCAATACCTCAATAGAAAATAAAAACTTTAAAAACATTAAACAAAAAAATAATAACCTGCTCCGTGAGCTACCACACCACCTGCCTTTTAATTCCAGCCCAGCCACTGACTAGTAAGAGTGACCCCAAGAAAAGTCATCTCTCTCCTAGGGCTTTGTTTCTTCTGAACAAAAAACAGACAAAGATCATGTCAAAGAGCCCTTCCAGTTAAAAGTCCAGACAGAACTCTCTGAAAGCTGACAAGAGAAACGAAATGCAGGGACCCGAGACTCTTCCATAACTTACCTACTTTATTAAGAAAGCAAAAGGCCAGGGCCCAAGGCTGTTCTTTTGACGACAGGGATCGGAAAGGACATAGAAGACCTAGCCAGTCTAAGGCAATATGTTCTTGGGAAACTAGGCAAAAGTGCCTCTGTTTGCTAAGATGCTAGAGTGATGGTTCAAATAAAATAATGACCAGTTTTCCCTCCTTGCTTCATTTTCCCCTGATGGTTGGCCAGCTTGGTTTGCAAGCAGTCATCAAGACAATTAACTTACACACCAGGGATATCTGGAAAAGATATGCTTTCTTTTTTTTTTTTTTGGAAAAGATATGCTTTCTACCTCCTCATCTCCTCTTTGAATTCTCCAGATGAAAAAACCCTACACATAGCAAAAATAAAATTAAAAATGTGAATAGTCAGCAAGTATGTATGTACAAAAACAGTGTCTTCCTATGATATCAACTTCTAGAAATCTCCATTCCAGGTTTGGGGAACAGTCAATTTTTTAGAACTATCCTCAGCTCTGTGTAATAGACCAATTCGTCATGGCACTTAGTCTAAAAAGCATTATCTGGTCAGACCTGTTATAGTTATCTGATACCAACCTGAAAATAAGAAAAGGTTAGGATAAATTCTACCCCAAGGACTCAGGACTGATAACCTCAGTATACAGGTTCCAGATAAATATTCTTTGCCATTTTCCAGTTGAGATTTGTCTTCCAAACTGTCTGTCAGAGGCTCTCTAGGAAATGATGCTTTCTATCTTTCAGGATGCTGTGGGTTTCAGCCCAAATCTGATCCTGAGTTACAGATTCTGAGGACTATTCTGATTTTTACAAAACTGGACTAGAGGTACTATGAGGAAGTGTTTGTAGGATAAAATCTAAAGCCTACCTCAGTTCTTTGCTTCTGTTTACCTCAAGGAATCAGTCAATATTTAAGGACAGCTACTAAATGTGAAACTTACTAACCCCATTCCTCCAGGTGCTGACAACTCCTTCTTATCATCTCTAAGGTAAGAGACACAGAAAAAATATAAATCATCCCTATCTCCACAGCCTAAGAATCCTGCCATACTTGTTTTCTTTGTTGGTGGAGGAGGGCTGTAGAACGGGGAGTGCTCCCCCCTGCACAGGGACCCCCCACATTCACTGGCACCCACACCAGATAACACCCCTGACTCTAGGGTGCCAGGGGTCACAGGTCACCTGTGGTCAGGTGACCACACTATGGTCATTATGCCACCTCAGGTCAGGGAGGACTGACCTGGCATTTAATCCCAGCCTGGCTGCAAGCACATGCTTCTGGGTCACAATACAGTCGACAGTCACAGCCACACTCTTCCCGTGACAGGCGGATGGCTCGAAGTTCTTGCTTCTCTTCAGCATCGATGCGGTGGACCCCAGAAGCCCGCAACAGGGCACGTCGCCGCTTGGTGGGCAGAGGCTGCAGGAAGAAGTAATCATCCACCTCCACATTTTCCACATCAATATCTTCATCTGAAACATCATCCAGCGTCAGGCCGTCGGCCTCCACCGACTCCACCGTCCCATTCTTGGTCAGCTGCCAAGAGACAGGAAGGAAGGTCAGGTGCTAGAGCAGCATCAGCAGGAGCCTCCTCACTGGCACAACCACAGCAGGTCAGGCCAAGTGAACCTGCTGCCACGACGCAGACACTCACGCGGCCTGTCCTGGCGCACACGTGGCTCCTGAGCACGGTAAACGGGGCTAGTGCAACCGACAAACTGAACTTTAACCTTTATCTCATTTTAATTAAGTATAAATAGTATGGCAAGTGCGTACCATACTGGATAGAGTCAGTCGAGAGAATCAATCTAGAGCAGAAGGACAGGAAGCCTATGCAACACCAACGCCAGCCCATCAACACAAGGGACATCACCTTTCTGGCTCAAAGTTTCTCCACATCTGTCTCACCTTCCCCACCAAAGATAATTTTCCCCCACAGTTATACCCTCCATTTCCAGCCTTGTGCCCCTTAGCTTCAGCTAACCTGCCATCTAACACATGGACGAAGAGAAGGCACTTCAATGGATGGATATTCCTTGGATGTAAACAGCCTTGCAAAACACCTGCTAGTTTGCACTCCGAAGGACCCAAAACCACAATTCTGCAAAGAGTACATTGAAGTGTAGTACAAGGCTACCTATCATGTCTTTGTCAATGAACCTGAATCCTCACAGTCTGAGTAATCATCTGAGCATACACAGAAGAGCCTCATTTTATGGGGAGGAGAAAAAAGTGAGCAAGTTATCAATGGCTATCAAGAAAGCCCTCACTTCCCATGGCCTGAAAGAAATATATTCTTTCTCCTTTTTTTTTGGCCATGCTGCATGGTTTCAGGGGTCTTAGTTCCTGGACCAGGGATTGAACCTGGGCTCTCAGCAGTGAAAGTGCTGAGGCCCTAACCAGTGGACCACCAGGGGATTCCCTCTTTCTCCCTTCTAATCCTTTTTATTTGGTTTTAAAGGAAAGCTACATGGGAGGTAGGGTGGCAAATATAATACTGCGTGTACTCTCTGCAGGCAGGAATCTGGGTTCTCTGGCTAAGAAGGACAGAGGCAGGAAGGGCGGTCTGAGAGGAAGGACAGGCTGCAGACAGTCTGTGGCTGAATGAGCTCTGAAAACCCACTCGGGAGTTCAGGTAAAGAAAATGAGGCCTCATGATCCCCAGGGCTCTGGAAGCTACTGGCAGGATGAAAGCCAAGCTACTGGTGGGTTTGACTCATTTCATCAGCCAGTCAGAAGAATGCTGGTAAAGGAATAACTCCTGGGAGAGATGTGATGCAACAGACCCGGCTAATAAGCTACAAACCTGTTCTGTTTGTTTGTGGGGAGGTGAGAAAAGGAATGAGAGAAATAAAGAGGTGCTTCTGGGGAACCCCACATTTTTTTCTGTTGCAGGCAGGCCAACTACGAGGGGCCTTCCTGCAGACCTGAGCATTGCTCCTGCCCATTTCACCACGGTTGGCCTCCTCCGAAGCACCTCCCTCCCCTCCTTGATATCCCATCAAAGGAAAGAGATGAGAAATGCAATAGAAAGAAACCATGTACAGAGATAGGATAATTTAATATAGCCTAATAAAAGAACACTTCAAATCAGTGAGAAAGATTCTAGTCATTAAATGGTATTGGGACAACTGTCTATTCTTTTGGGGGAAAAAAAAGTTAGATTCCCAATTCATACTATTTGTTAATAATGAATTCCATATGGATAAAAGGCCAAAGAAAGTAATAAAAATGTTAGAAAAATTATAGGTACTAATACTGATGCAAAGCACCAGTGTTTTTTTTTCTTGATGGAAGTCCAAAGGGAAAAAAAATGGCATATGGGAGATGCAAAATATATTATTTTTGAGAACAACTGCCTCTTCTATAAAGTGCTAAAGATAGGAAAGATTTCTAAGAAAAGAGTAAACTGGTCCAAAGTAAGGGTGTTCTCTTGACACAGAAGGAAAGGGTAGAAAGCCTTCATGGCAAATGATGACAAGTTTATTTGCTCAGCTGTTGCTATAGCAGCAGGAAGGTGATAGGTCAGTGATGGAATTCCTCAGACAGAAGGCAGAGAAGCCTGAATGTCACTGTAGTTAGAAAAACAGGTGTAAGGTTTGAGGCGTGGACTGCAGGCAGCAGACACAGAGCTCTCAAAGGGACAGAGCACTGAGATCTAGTTCATACACAACCTCTTGTCACTGGTTCTCCAACCTTCCTGCATTGTGTATCTCATCAGGATTTCACTCATGACCCTGGAAATAATGCAGCCACCTGTTTTAACATGGGTCTGAATACTTTGAGCCCACAAGAAACTTGCCTAGGCCTGAAGCAGTGTTCTCCAAGCTCGGAACTAGGAATTCTGGGGGCAATATTTTGCAGACTGGTGGAAACCACAGCTGTGGAGTGCCAGGTGGCGCAAAGAGCAAATGTGGAGCTATTAAAGAGAAATCTGAGGTGGGTCTTCCAGCCCTGCTCTCCTCCTAAACTTGAAGAGCAGCATCAGACTGCAGGCCCAGTACTAGACAAATCGGAGTAACTATTTGGTAACGCTCTTTTTTATACATGAAAACCTATCATCTAGAAGCAATGGGAGGCACAGAATTGGCAGCGTCCTTTGAAAGGATCCAAAAGATCCAACATCTGTTCTGTGCATCAAGCCAATGGACAATCATTTGATGAGAAGTGGAAACACTGTGCTTCCTAAGGGTCCAGGGGTGGCAGACCTGAATGTCTTCAGGTAGTCATTCAAACTTTAAACACTGATAGATGCGGGAAGGGTAGGGAAGTCTAGGGAGTCTCTGCTAGACTCCCCACCAGAGACAAGAATAGTGTCTCAAACAGATTTGATTCCAAATCTGAGATTCTTCATTAGAAAGACATGGAATCTCTACATACCAAAGGCAACAGCCCGAAACGAAACCAAACCAACAAAAAAACCACAATAGACCTAGACGGTTTTCTGCTTTTTCTTGGCACAGGGGAAGTACCAGACCCCAGACCCCTTAGGCACCTTCATCTTCTTGGCATGGAGTTTTTCCTCCTTTAGATGTTCACGAAGTATCTCCCGATGGTTCACCTCCTGCTCCTGAGCAAACTCACAGAGTGTGTAGCTGCGTACAGAGTTATGGCGCTGGGCCATGCCCAGAGAGCTGCCGCCCTGGCTGGGCACGCTGGTAAAACCCTGGCGTCGAGCAAAGTAGTACACAGTCACCTGGTCAAATCGCACATTTTTCCTCCGCAGCTGCTTCTGCCGCTTCAGGATGGATGTGGCTGAGAAGGGAGCACAGAAAGTTTTATTAACCCAGAGAGGGCCTGTTGGAGGACCTCATTCTTTCTCATCCATCTAGGCTCTCAACTCTTCTCCAGAGGTGCTCCTTGTACCTTGAGACCTTCCAAATCTTCAAACCTTAAATGCACAGTTGCAAAGGACCTTGACCATCACCAGGTCCATACCACTGCCTCCTGGCTGACTTCTGCCAAACAGATGACCACAAAATCTATTTTTAGAGATCAGTTAGGAAGAGAACTGTAGGTAATCTTTTCGGGATTTAACAATCTACACAACTTCACTGTCCAATACAGCAGCTGCTAGCTACATGTGGCAACTTAATTAAAATGAAATAAAAACTTAAAATTCAGGTCCTCAGTTACACTAATCACACTTTAAGCACTCAATAGCCACATATGGCTAATGCCTACCATACTGGACAATACAGATACAGAACACTCTATCATAACAAAATTCTTTTGGACTCCATTTTTTTGTTTTCGCCATACCACACAGGTTGCATAGTGTGTTTGGCCTACACGGGTTGTAGGTCAGTTTCCTGACCAGGAATTGAGTCTGGGTCACAGCAGTCAAAGTGCCAAATCCTAACCACTAGATCAGCAGGGACGTCTCCCTGGTCAGTGCTGATCTATAGCAGTAGATGGTAAACATCTTCTGTAAAGGTCCAGATAGTAAATATTTTAGGTTTTGCAGGCCACAAGGTCTCTGTTGCAACTACTTAACTCTGCTGTTGTAGCATGAAAGCCTCCGTAGACACTTGGTATTGTGGCTGTGTTCCAATAAAACTTTATTTACAAAAATGACCAGTGGGCCAGATTTAGCACAGAGATAACCCCTGATTTATGTAATCAGAAGTTCCTTCCGAGAAACTAACTGAACTGTAAGAATTAAGAAGCGTTGAGATGCCCCAGTTGTCCAGGCAGTAAGCATTTACTTCTTGCTAGAGCTACAATTTTGTGGAACTATATGGGATTCTGGTGGGAAAGGGTAAACTCCTAGACTTCTCCTTCTTCAGTTTAATTCGACCCATTTTGGGGACCCAAAACCCACAGCCCAAGCAAAATCAGCTAGAATAAATCCCACTTAAGTCTATGATATTAAAGCAATGAAGTCCTCCAAAGAGCATGATTGAGCTAAGAGTGGGAGAGATTATGACTAAGGACAAATCCCTAAGCTGGACAGAAGCTGTCATGAGAGCTGCAAAGGGCTCCAATGCTTGGGGGACTTGGGTGCAGGCTGGGAGGGAATGGCTCACTCACGTGTGAAGCTGGCAGTTGTAGGAGGATTGAGGCTGTCGCAGCTGTCAGCGCTGTCACTGCTGGAGATCTCATCATCAGAGTTAGAAACTGATGAGCCCACATCCACATCATCAAACTTCCTCTTGAGACCCGAGCCCGTGAATGCATCCATTGGTTTCAAAGGGGTTTCCTTGGGGGAGCCCACCACGTCGGCCCCAAAGCCCCTGCTCACCAGCAGGTAGCCAGGTGCATTAGGATTCTGCCCAGGGGAGAAGAGCAATCAGCACTCCAGTCCTGAGACAGACCGCTCGCAAGCTTATACATACGGCTCTCCAAGTGCAGAAAGAAGGCCCCTGAGTCACTAGCATGGACATCTGCTCTCTTGAGACGAGGTCATATCTTATTCCAGTCAGCAGCCTCCTACTTCTGCTTCTCCCTAGCCCCTCCATCCTCAGTCACTCTTAGAATAATGAGATGAGTAACAGCAGCACCTTTCCCAGTGGAGTGAAGGCCTTTGGTTCCAAGCCAGCTGGGCTCAAGGCTTCATTAGCCCTGGGATAACAGCCCTGCGCTTCTGCTCGCCCAGGAGAGCTCTCCATGGGGCCCGCAGGAAGGACTGGGGATCAAAGGCAGAATTAGGCTATGCCTCAACCCATACTAGATCCAATTATTTTTCTGAAAATTTTTCTGGCATTTCCCAAGGTGTATCCACTAAATAAACTAGCTCCACAGATATTAATTAATAGAGGCCTGGGGTGTGTGTGGGGGGTGGGGGTCCAGCGTGTCAATGTCCCTCCATTTCCTCAACAACAACTGAATTTTTATAGTATCTGAAAATTGGAGATGGCGTGTGTGTGTGTGTGTGTGGTGGGGGGGTGCTTCCCTGGTGCCCCCAAGTGAAGAATTTCAGGAGGTAAAGAATTCGCTTGTAATGCCCAGGTTCAGTCCCTAGGTCGGAAAGATTGCCTGGAGAAGGGAATGGCAACCCACTCCAGTACTCTTGCCAGGAGAATTCCATGGGCACAGAAGTCCCTGGTGGGCCACAGTCCATCACGACTGAGCTACTAACACCCGCCCCCCCCACACAAACGATATTAATATATTAATAGCTATTACATGGAAATAAGACTGCTGTGTCAAAATACTTAAGAAAACTGCTTTTACGAAGACCTTTCAGAGACTTTTAATATGTTAAAGAACCTGGTGCAGGGTAAGAGGAAACAGAACGCAGGGCTTCTGTAATCCTTTGTTTCTAGAGTATCCTACAGGGCAAAGGATTCAGAACACACTTTGGGAAATATCGCTATAGGCTTTCAATTTCAAAGTACACTGACAGTCAGGGAAATGCTTTACCCAGATCTTCACAAATGTAAAGTGTCTCACCAGGCTCCTGAAAAGGACAAATTAGATTCTAAAGAATGGACTGAAGGGGGGTTGGGGTGGTATGGGGGAAGGAATGGACAGAAGATTAGAAACTGCACTGGCTTCAAAACCCAGACTCTTTCCCAATTGCCTACTGCTCCATAAAACTGGGCTCAGTTGACCTCCCATCATCCTTTCTGCCAGAAAGACTTCCCTTTACAATCCTTGCCCTCTATAAAGAAACTGGCAAGGGCATGACAAATAGCAAAGAAGTGACGATTTACTCTGGTTACATTATTATGGCAGGCAGTGTTCTCAAGGCGCTCACACAACCAAGGAGTCTGGGATAGTCCATTTCCCAGGGACAAATCTTTCTCCTCCATCTTTGCACTTGAGTTCCCGAGGATATGAATCTGCTCAGCAGAAACGCTGTCAGAGCCGGGGCCACATGTGATGATGCGAAAGCTCTCTGCTCTGCCTCAGTAATGCCAGAATCTCCCCAGACTATGATCTCACTAGTTGCTAATTATGCAGCAGGAATAACAACACTGCCCAGAAAGCCAGGGCTGCATGACTGCAGAGCAGCTCCCCAGAATATACTGTGGTGTCAAGAGGTGCCTGCTACAGTGCTGATTTTCTAGACTGTGTTTTGGAAGCAATTTGCCTGCTCTTGGTTCAGCTCCATAGTCAACCAGACCTAATAAGTACTTTAGGTATTCATTAATTTACCTAGCCAGATCGCATAAAAACTCAAGTCACAAGATGCACCTAAGAAACCTGTCCTCACAGGTCTCAGACCAGCACATTCCTGAAATAAACTGGCCAGAAAGAAAAAAAAATCAACTACTAGATACAAATTGTAATTAAATTTAAAAATGAGCCCAAAGTATCAAATTTTGTTCTTCAGGTTACTGATCTTAGGAGATCACATTCTTAGGATGTGGGTTAAGAAAGGAGAGAGCCATGGACTTTTATTTAAGGTTAAGATTTCAGCTGGGCTTAAAGATGCCTATTAACTAACAAATCTCATTTCATTCTCTTAATGGAGGAGGTGAGACCCTTGCTATGGAGTACTTATGGGGGAGGAATAAAAAAAGAAAAACAATGTTGACCACTGAACACAATATTTCCTCCGCACCAAAAAATCTTATTGACCACATAAAAAAGCTGACTTGAGCTCAAAATCCTTCTTAGAAAGGACTGAAGTCCATCTTCAGTTTTAACTGAGAACCAGTTAATACTGCCACTAGGAAAGTACCTTGTTCCTAAGCCTGACGGTACTCATCAGTTCAGTTCAGTCACTCAGCTGTGTCTGACTCTGCGACCCCATGGACTGCAGCACACCAGGCCTCCCTGTCTATCACCAACTCCCGGAGTTTACTCAAACTCATGTCCATTGAGTAATAGATTTGTTTTTAAATAAAGTTTTTAAACAAGTCTTACTTATTTTTATTTTTTTGGCAGCATCCTGTGGCATGTGGGATCTTAGTTCCCCAACCAGGGATTGAACCAATGCCCCCTGCGTTGGAAGGCAGAGTCTTAGCCACTGGACCTCCAGGGAAGCAAATGTGCACTCCTGACCTCTGGTCTGATGTCCCTTTGCTGCCAGTAGTGTGGGTTTCTTCTAAATGTTTCTCCTTAAGCCCTGCATGTGATTGAGTCTGGTCGAAGATGGTGTTTTAATATAATCCTACACTGTCTTAACCAAGGTGCCCCCAGGGTATCTTTTCTCTTTAGGCCACTTTTTGTGCACTCTGGGCAGCCAGGATTGCTGGCTGCTTTCTCTATTCTTTTTCTATGTCTTCCTCACTCCCATTTCTGGGAAAGAGGTTTTTTGCCCATTTCTGGGCAAAGATAGGAGGAGGCTAGTAAGAAGGAAGAAAAAAAGATGCAAAACCTGGGAGAAAAATATTTTCCTTAAAATGTCTGAGAATCATCTGAATGGCTATATATGTAAGTAATGTGCATACTGACTGAGCTCTCTTCACCCTACCCAGGATGTTAGCATCACTTTCTCTGTCATTAACCCATTCTTATTAAAAAAAAAAAAAGAAAAGAAAAAAAATCCAAAAATTCTTTCCTGAGAACGAATATAACTTAAAATTTCAACCCAGCTTTCCTTGTCCAGCTCTCTGGAGTGAACTTGTGGGATCAAAGATGTCCACTGGGCACCAAGAAACCTCCCATCCACTTCCACTGTGGCCTGAAGAAATCCTTCTCTGAAATAGCAATAACAACAATGGGTTCCACTTTTCAATTCATCAATTCAACTTCCTTTCCAACCACAGTTACAAATCAGTCATCTCCACCTCTCTCAACTATTTATTCTTTGGCAGAGGATCAATGCCTATGTTCAAGAAAAACACTTATACTCCCAAGCACTTAACCCATACAGAAATAATCAAGATGAGACTGGAAATGCAGGTCATAACTGACAGTTAACTGTCAAAATGACCAACTCAAAGAATAAATGCTTTTGGAGAAAATAATGCAAACTTCTATAAAAGCTTTTGTGCCATTAAAATGGAAGTTCAGCTGACACTTTCTAGCTGCATCCCTTACTGCCTTTTCTTAAGTACTTCTGCTAGTTGAACATTTTCCAAAAGTATACAAAATAATTCAGATCGACAGTATATAGAAGAGATTAGATTAGGATAGCACCAAATAAAACAGATTTACAGCATATATGTATTTTAGTACTAAGCTTAAGCCTCTTCAGGCCTGTGAGAATTCCTATAACTGCCATCAAACCCAAAAACCCAGCATATGTGAGACTAGCAAGAAAAGAACTGCCCTCCCCTAATTCTGTGGATGCAGAATGTATTGACGGAGTTTAGGTAATGAAATCTCTCTCCTAAAGGAGTCCAAAATAAGACGAGGTACCTCTCACATCCCATTTCTACTGGACTGGAACCCAACCTTCTGCTAAAGGTCAAGGGCCGAAAATCTCTAGTAGGATGTCAGTGCTACCATGTGTAGCTGGATTAGAGGAAGGAAAGCTTGCTGCTAAGAGTTAGGATCAACCTAAATAAGATGACCAGTCCTGTTTCTCCTTTTACAAAATACTGTGAGCTGCTCCTCAAATACTATGAATTTTGTGGCTCCATGTGTCCTTGTGATAACCAGGATCATGAACTAACAAGGTGCTCAAGTGAAAACATTTTGTTTAAACTAGGTATTTCAAGGAAGCTTTCCCCCTACAACCCTCACACTCTGGTTTCATCCCTTCACTGACACAAGGTTAGAATCTGGCTTTCCATGTCTAAACTCCCATCCTATGAAGGACAAGAGATCTTTGTGGGAGAACTGGAATATGACGCTGCAGGACCCACGAACTCTCAAGGATATCCAGTCATTTATAACTCTGGCACACATCAACATCCTCCTGGCTCTGGACATTTGCAAAATGGAAAGTCGGTAAAAGAAAAGGAAAATCTGAATTAACTGTGGATTTACCTTGAACTGAGAACTGCAAGCCAAGGGGACACTGTGTCTCTTGGGGATAACTCCTAACGTTTCATACTGAAGAACGGTGTTATGTGTCACATTGCCACTCTAGCTCCCTTTAAAAGGATGAATCAAGACCGTGGCACTAAAAGGAATGGATGGCAGTCGGCTGCGTGTTTGGGCCTGTGAAAAAATATCCAACTAGCAACTAGGGCAACTGATGCTTTCGTTTTCCCACACAACGCCACGAAAAAATGGGAGACCTCAGGAACCTGGGTTGAAAGGACATGTCAAGTCACCAGTTCCCCTTCATGGACACCCCCGCTGAACCCTTCAGCGCTGGGGCACCTTTTCACTCTGATTTCTGCTAACCTTCCTGCTCACTCCAAGCGTCTGCAGCCCCTACCCAGATTCCCATCCTTTCCTGCCTGCTACCCACAAATTCCCAACCACTCCTCCCACATTTTCTTCTATTTCCCCCCTCCCCTTCCTTCACTTCCCTCCATCCTACATCATCTCCACTCCATTCCGAACTTAACCCGCAATCCGAATTCCTGCCGGCTTCTAAGCCGCCCGTCGGGCTCCCTTAAACTGCCCCCGCAGTCCGGGCCCGCGTCCTCCGTGCCCCTCGCTCCCACGCCTCTCCCGACTCTTTCCCTTCCCGGCGGCGCTCTAGCTCCCCGCCCCCCGACCGCTGCCGTCCGTGTCTCCCTCATTTCTGACCCCTCCATCCGCGCGGCTCTGGGTTGACCACTCCTCCACAGTCGCCCTGGGGCCGATCCCGAGAAAGGACGAGGAGGCACCCTCCGACCCCCACCCCTAGGCCCATTACCGGCTCCGCCGCAGCTGCCTCCTCCCGTGATGGTCTCTGCCGCCCCCGCTGCCGCCGCCCTAGCCCAAGTGGGAAGAAGGGAGGAGAGATTGAGTCCCGGGGCCGCACAGACGGTCTGGGAGTTCCCAGGGCGGCAGGGCGGGGAGGGACGGTGGGTGGGCAGGTCGGCCGGCAGGCGGCAGAGGGCGGGCGGCTCCGACAACTCGGGCGCCCCCCGGCAGCAGCCGCCCAGAACCGCCCCGGCTCCGGCTAACAATAGGCTCCGGCCGCAGCGCTCTGGCTCTTATAGGCGCCGGCACGTCCGGACCGAGCCCCGGGGCAGGCTGGGAAATGGAGTCTACGTGCTAGCCCTACGCCCAGCAGCACGCCGGGAGTTGGAGGCGGCTACCTGCGCAGAGCCGAAATTCGCCGGCAAACAGACTCAGGAGGCGGCGGTTCCGCTGCAGGCTGGGAAAGCGAGTTTGACGCCGCTGCAGCCTTTTGAAGAGGATGAGGGGCGACCCTCAGCTCCAGATCTTCGATGACTAAACAAATTCTCGCCTAAAACTCTCCCTTTCCTTTCGTCAGGCCCACACTTCCAGGTCTAAGGAACGTAATCCCCCTTATCCTCGCTCAGGGGATCTAAGTCTTAAGCAGCGCGACGTGCTGCAGCCTGCCCAGGGTATAAAGAAAATAGAAGCAATGCAGAGTAATCTTCAGCGTGTATTGATGGATTGTTTTCTTTCTAAATTTTCTTACGTGGTTTCTGATCTTCACAATTTTGCAACTCATTTTTAAAACGGAGAACGAGGACTCAAAAATCGGAATGTTGTACGTAATTTGCCAAGGACACCTAGTCTTGGTGTATGTCTCGCTCAGAATGGAAGAACAGGTCTCTCCTTTGACCTGTAAGGCCCTGTAAGTTATAGGTGAATCCTCTTGCCTCACCAACCACCATCCTGTATGTCAGCTTGTCTCTTACATTTCCCCTCCCTCTCTCTGTTTTAAGTGCCCTGGCCCACTAGATTCTTTGCAACAATCATGCTCTCATCTCAGGACCTGTTCCCTTGGAACACTCACCAGCTAGACCCATACTTACTTCTGCACGTAATGTTTGGTCAAACATCCCCTTATCAGAGACACTTCCTTAACCATATTTCTAAAAGGGGGCTTCCCCTAAGTATCTGTCCCCTTGCCCTATATTTCTTAAGCATTTACCATTTGACATATATTTGTCCTTCAGTCTTTTATCAATTGAGTAAATTCCATGAGAGTAAGAAGTTGTTTTGTTTACTGTATCCTCAGCACCAAGTACAAAGCATGGTATTTGGCATTTAGAAGCTTTTTCTTTATCAAATGGATGGATGGAAGGATTTAAACTCTGGTTAGGCTGCTTCCAAAGCATGGTGCACTTACACTGCCACCAAGAACTATGAGCCAGATCTCCTGGGTATCAAGCCATCTCAGTTTTAGAATTGAGAGGCTAAGTGACTTGGAAAAATGTCAAGAATTCCAGTTCTCTCCTCTAAGTGATATAAAAGACTCTGAGAGACCAAGAAACAATACTGCAAAATGAAAAAGAGCAGATCACAAAAAAGCAATCCTTAGAGTACTGATCATCCACCTATCTGCTAAAGTTAGGCATGATATAACATGTAACCAAGAGCATGAGATCTGGAGCCAGATGCCCTGACTACAAGCCCCAACTCCTCTTACTAATGGTGTGACCCTTGGCAAGGTAGGTAACTTCCCTGTTCCTTGGCTTCCTCATCTGGAAAATGGGGATAAAAGTATGTGTCTCATAGGATTTTGTGGAGGTCAAATAGTGGTATAAACTGTTGACAACACAGTGTGATATAAATGTTCTCATGATTCTGTTTTTCCTGGACACACAGGAATCAAAAAGGAAGAGAAGACCCCAGAATGTTTAGAGTCAGTGGGATGAGTAACAAAAAATAGCCCAAAGGCCCTGTTGGGTAGGCTAAAACCCAACAGGTATATGTAGGTATATGTGTTTCATATACCAACACATCTAGAATCTGAGCAGTCAGTCAGGGAAATTTGTCAGAGTACCATCAGCCTCTCAATACCCAAGCTTTCTTGGTTAATGACACCAAATTATAAGACAGCCAAAGAAAAGTTAAAAATCCTTTGAGAAGACAGCAGAATCCAGTTTGCCAGTAAGCTGTAAATCAGTCAAAAAAATCATCTGAATTGTTAGAACAAACATCACAACCACTTCTCACAGAGTCACTTATTCACCATATTTCATTGTCTTGATAGAATCACTAGGTAAGTTATTACAATGGTGCCTGTTCACTCATAATTGTGATTCTGCTTCCAGCCCAAGCAGGACCTGTGGAGGTCAAATGACCAGAAGTGCAGTAGAGTAAAAGTTATAAATAAAAAAGAAATGCTAATATTAACATGTAAATTATAACATTGGACATTATATCTAATTCTAAATGTGACTGTTTTGTTCCAGACCATGCATAATTCATGGTTGGGTGGGTTTTAGGGGCGAAAAACTCAAGTAGGAAGGAAAGACAAGATGATCAAGAACAACAGACAAAGACAAAAACCAAAGGTCAAATTTTATATCCTGGTCAATGTTTATACGTCTCTCTTTTGGTCATATCTACATGTAGAGGTGATCTTGCCTTCAATAGTATCCTAAATTTATTAAGCAAGGGAATAAAATTGCAACAAGATATAACTGTTTTGTATTTATTATCCTTTGTAATCTCCTTAACAGCCCTATGAATTAAGGATTATCTCCTTTTTAAGATGAGAAAGTTGGGGTTTAAGAGATTGTTTTGTCCAAGGTCACATCCATGAAGAGCAAGATTTGAAATTTGAACAAGGGTTCATCTGACACCAAAGTGTACATTTTAACAACCACTCTTTACCAAAGAAAAGATAAAAGAGTACACTCTCCTGGGAGGCTGAAAATGAATAGACCAGAGGATACTATGTGCTGAGATGCTTAGAGAAAAAGAGTTAAGATAAAAATCCAAGCCACTGTTATTTGTCTTTTGATAGGGAATCTGTAGATTTAGCCCTGAGGCTGTATGTTGCTTTACTAATTTACATTTAATTAGAATCCAGATCTAGAGAGACAGGCATCTTTGTGACTAAATCCACACTAACCAAAAGAGATCAGTAGAGCAAATCTGGGAGAAAGACAGGGCCATAGCAGTTGAAAAGCACAAACAAGAAGAAGCTGTATGTTTTATCGAAGAAGGTTTCAAAAAAGACATTCACAAATTGATCTACATAAGTGTATAATACACACAAAAACCTGTTAATAAAGCAAAATAACAACCATTTTTGAGGAGCTAGAGTGCAAGGATGAATTTAGAAAAGTCAAGCTTAATAAACCTAAAAAAGGTGAATGAAAGGCTCAAGCAAAGTTATACAGATGTTTAAGGAAAGATATTAATTAAACCCTTAAATGAAAAATTAGACATGAGAATTCAGAAAGAGGGAATTCTTTGGCAATTCAGTGATTAAAAAAAAAAAAAGAACTCAAAGAAAACAGCAGTCTGCGGTGATTAAAATGAGGAATGTGTACCTCACCTTACGCAAATACATGAAAATATAGATTCACAGAATAGAATAAACCTAGGTTATTACTCATGACCCCAGAGATCCCACATAATACAAAATGGTACTGCTTTGGTGAGGTTACACATTCCTCATTTTCATCACTGCAGATTGCTGTTTATCTCCTGAGGGCTTCCCTGGTAGCTCAGACGGTATAGAATCTGCCTGCACCGTCGGAGACCTGGGTTCAATCCCTGGGTTGGGAAGATGCCCTGGAGGAGGGCATGACAACCCACTCCGGTATTCTTGCCTGGAGAATCCCATGGACAGAGGAGCGTGGCAGGCTCCAGTCCATGGGATTGCAAAGAGTTGGACATGACTGAGCAACTAAGCATAGCATAGCACATAGTAAGTAATACATTAGTATTTTTTAAATACCAAGTTCTCTTATAATTGATACTAATCCAACTGAAAATTGTAATTCATATACAACTTTTTTTTTTTTAAGTTGGCTGTGCTGGGTCTTCAGTGCTGCTGTAGCTTTTCTCTAATTATGGTGAGGGGAGGTTACTGTCTAGTTGCAATGCATAGGCCTCTCATTGTGGCTTCTCGTGCCATGGAGGACAAACTCTAGGGCAAGTGGGCTCAGCAGTTGCGTCTCCCCAGCTCTGGAACACAGGCTCTAGTTGTGGTGCAAGGGCTTAGTTGCTCCACAGCATGTGGGATCTTCCCAGATCAGGGATCGAACCCACATCTCCTACATTGGCAGGCAGATTCTATACCACTGGGCCACCAGGGAAGCCCATAAACAACTTTTACACTTCTGAATTTGAGAATGCAAATGCTAGATTTAGTTGCAATTTCCAAATTAATTTGTTGAACAGGCCAGTATTCATAAAGAAAAATATAATATAAAGAATATTTTTCATAAAGAATAATATAATAAAAGAAATCTGGAAGTGAAGAGGAAAGATGAGGAAAAAGGGAGGAAGTAGAAATAGATGGGAGTTTAAGGTCAAAGTTAAAATAAAAGGTCATTAAAAGAAGCAAGGAGAAAGAAAGTATTAATAAAACAGAAAACAAGTACTGATGCCATTGTCCTCATATCACATAGAGCGTCTTTCTTCCTCATTTAAGTCTTGGAGTTTGTATAATGAAACGAAAATTTAATCACAAATAAAAATAAATATATTTTAGCAGGAAAAACCTTAGCTCACAACTGAGAAAATATGAGCAGTTTTTAGGAGAAGCAGAAGAATGAAGGACTATTTTATATATCAGTAAAAAGATACAGCTAGATGGGATCATTTGTGCCACTCCTGGTGAGGCTGGAGTTCTCATAACAGACTAGCAGAGGCCATAACAGATCAGATTGCCATAGAGGAACCATCCGTAGCCAAGAAAGCCAACTAAAAATTCAGAAAAATGATATAAAAGCTGTTTGAGTCTTGGGTCCCAAGTTACCTGGAATTATCAGGTATTGGCCAGAGAAAAAAGCTTTAGTGGAGAAGGAAAAACTCAGTCCTGACTTCAAATATCTGCATCGAAATTTGTGTTACTTTCAAAACTAAATGCTGAAGCTTCAGCCAATACGTCATGGAAGTTTGAAGATACCCCAAATCTCCCATCCAAGTACTAACCAGGCCTGACCCTGCTTAGCTTCTGAGATCAGACGAGATCGGGCGCGTTCAGGGTGGTATGGCCGTAGACAGAAGATAGTCCAAATCTCTGCAGCAACCCTATACAAATGACTTTCTCAGAACACTTGGGGATACAAAGGGTTTTCAGAACACTCTTTCATTAGGCCTAAATGAGACATGGCTAGTTCCATTATGCCAAGCCTTCTCCACTTGCCAAGCTTCCCCTTGCTCCTCCAACTCAGTGGTCAGATCATGCTCTGCCCCTCATAATGCATCCAGTGCCTGACGGTGCCAGACTTCCAGGAATCACGTCCACCCCCTCATGAGGACCTCTTTCTCAGGTCTCTCAGACTCTAGTTGTCTTGTATTTGTCATATTGTAATCTCTTTCCAGAAAGAATGACAAACTCCATTTCCGCTCCCTTTAAATGGCTTCTTAAATAAATCATTTATGTGGGCAAATGTTCTTATCATTGGGGCATAATATGGAACCTCATTACTTAGTAGTCACATTTTATGTCGTGACTGGTATTCACTCCTTGAGTTCTGCAATGATCCTTTTACTTTCCAATGTCTCCCTTTTAATTATCAAGTCTTTATACTATAGATTCTTCTAGATGGAACCTATTACACTTCAAGGGAACAGTACAGACAATGCTAAGTCAAATAGGATGCTACTACAGTCCTCAGGAGGGTCTAAAATCTAACCCTTCTGCTTCTCATATAGCCTCACTCTAATGGAAATATTAAACCATCTTCTTTATTTTAAATACCAACTGTCATGTGGTTAAAGAGGTAAAATCCAGCCAACTTTATTTCTTGGACGGTATCTTAGAAATAAATGCAAAAAATTATTAGAATGTATGCTTAAATGGACTTAGCCTAAATGCCATTCATAGGGAATGGCCATTTTTCAAAAGAATGATGTCAAACTATAAATATAGAAAGATGTTCAAGACATGTAAAACACAAAAAAGAAAACTGCAGACCATTAATACTACATGAGCCCGTCTGCATATGTGTGTGTGTTTGTGTGTGTTTGAGAGAAACTTTTTGCAGTGACTACCTCTATAGAGTGGGACTAGGACTATAAGTAGAAAAAGCTGTATTTTATTATAAGTTATAATAGTTATTATAAGTAGAAAAAGTTATTTATTGTTGAATTTATCACTTTGTGTATCACTTTCATTATGAAAAAGCTAGTTTAAATTTTTTCATTTAATTGAAAAGATCGATAGTGAAGAAATGAAATTTTTTAAAGGAAACTGAATAATTACAGTGTTCTATCACTATACCAATTCTTACCAATTATATAGCATTGGCACTATAAATATTTTTTTGGAGCTAAAGAAAGCCTAAGAGATGTTCTAGTTAATTTGAGGATCTATGATTACAAACATATAAATTCATCTTTATATAAATCTGAGAACTACTCTTAAAAAATCCTCTAACTCCAAGTAAAAATTAGCAAGTATAAAATTTATAGTAAATATATTAATAGAATTCTGTGTATCATTTACAGTAAACAAGAGTCACAGATTCAGATTTAGAAAGGACCTTAAAAGTCCAACCCTACCAGCCTAACATTCAGGAGGATCGGAATAAATAAATAAATAAAAATAAAAATTAGCAGCCTGCTGGGGAGACAGCTGACTCCCTTGAGGCTGAGAACCAGTCTTAGGAACATAATACAATTAGAAATGTCCCCCCCAACCAAAGAAAAATAGAGACATCCAGTAATCAATCACTAAAAAAGTATTTTGGCCTAGTATGTCAAGCTGTCCAGGTCAATTTTAAATAAAGTCATTTGACTTAATTTTCCAGTTTCAAAATTTTCAATTTCTTTCAAATCAAAAGAAATCAAGACTATTTGCAGGCTGATTTTAATGAACAACAACAACAACAAAATTCTCTGTATAAAAACATTTAAACTTTATCAAATGCTTAAAAATACACACACACACACAGATCCAAATCCAATACAGAATCTTTTGAACATTATCGTTTTTCACCTCAGCATAACATGTAGAGGGATTTCTGGGTAAAACTTTACATGTGAAAAAATGACCCATAGTCTTACACATGCACACACACAAGCGCACACAATTGCAATCAGAAGAACTAAAGCATATGGTAAGAATGTGAATGGGATGGGAATGAATTGTAAAGCTCGTATAAAAGAATGCTACATGAGTAAAAGAACTTCTATCCCAAGAGAAGATGCAGAGAGGGGAAAGAGAAAGCAGAGGTTAGTCTATCTCATTAATAAATAGTTTGAGGTCATTCAAGAATAGTGAATTTGTGGAATAACAGATAATCCCTGGTTTTCACTGCCTTAAATTCTGTGACTCTGACAACTAATGATGCTTTGAAAGTGTGTTTTCATTTTTTATAGCTCTTGATTGGTTCATCATTATTTAGGTGTGGTTTGTCCCTTTAGGTGTTAATTCATCAGTTCTTGCTCACTTTTATGTGTGATTCACCAGAAGAGCCACAGTAAGAAATGATGGCATGCATACAGTACTGTCAGGATGGCAGTATTGGGTGGCAGTGAATAAGGATCAGCCTGCCTGCGTTTGCACTTCATGTCACTATCTACTAGCTGCCTGTTACTCATCAAGCTCCTCAGCCACTCTGTCTCCATTTCCTTATCTTCAATTAGGGATCATTATTACCTACTTCATACAGGGTTATTAAGAGGATTTAAACAAGATAATCCATTTAAAGAATTTATCACACTGCCTGGCACAACTAAATGTGCAATAAGTGTTAGCCAAAATTACTATTCGTCATCGAATTATGGGGGAATTAAAAGAATTTTGTTCTTTCTTCACATTTCTCTTCTTTGATGAAGTTTTCACAGGCAAAAAAGGACCTAGTCTTATGAATACAGATGTTTGCTTTTATGTTAGAAAAAAAATTACATGGGCTGCATACCACAGAATTTAACATCTTTCCATTAAACATCACACAATTCTCATCATCATTATGCCCTACACACACACCCTAAATGATGTGGAGTTTCTATTGATATTCAACAACAATAGAATCCAGAAATGTTAACTAAGAAACAGTTGCAGAAATGCATGTCAGGCAGAAATCTATGTGTGCCCCAACATAGATGGCTGGGGTTCTGCCTCTGCCTCCCCCACACAGACAGGTCAGGTTCCTGCAGCCTTCAAATCTCCATTTCTGATCCCCTCCAAGAGGAGAATTTCCCATAGGTGAAGGAAGCAGCAGCCACATCTACTTCAGTATAATATGATAGCTATCATTGGTTTCTGCTGTAAAAAAAAGAAAAAAGGATCATCTTTAGTCACCTCCAAAACACAGAAGGAGAAAAATATATGTGCTAGGTTCTTTAGAGAAAGAAAAAACAGGAGGACAAAGTGTAGTATATACTTATTAATTATCATAGAATATGTGTAATAAATATACACTAGAAAAACAACATTTTGCCTCAATTTCATCACTTGTCCATGGAAGGTAAAAGATGATGGCAGAAAGTCACACTTTGTCTACTCTGACAATGGCAAGTAGCCAATTCATACAGAGAAGCAATCTCCAATAATGGTCACATTCTTTATCTCAAATATGGTGGTTAATATTTTCCCTCTCTCCTCAAAGAATTACTATTAAAAAAACCCCTCAGACTCCTTCGAAAAAGGCATTTATCTTACTTTTTATTACCTTTCATTGTGTCCAGAATAAAACAGGCTTCTTCCTGAAAGTTCTGTATCATCTGAAAAAAGCAGGAAATGTTGCTGTTCATTAAAAACCTTGGTTTGCTGTATTTATTTTGCCTATGTGGCTTTTTATTATATTAGATATAAATGAAAAACAATCCTTTGTTTTCTCTCCTGTTTAGTTTTCAAAAGCTTTAAAAGCTAAACACTCTGAAACAGCTTTCTTAAAGTTCGAGAATGCATTTTCCTGGGTTAACCCCTGGACTTTCCAAAGGGCACATAGGTCCAGACAGGCCCATATGGGAGGAATTAATCATTTATATCTGTTCTCTCCTAAAACCGCTTGAGAACCTCTTGTTTTCCTTTCTCGCTTCCCTTTTCAAACTCCTTTTCCCCATTTTATAAAGTAAAGGCAAGAGTTTCACCCTCCTGAAATCTTATGGAGATGCACTGCCCTGGGCTATAAAACCCTACAGCATGCAAAAGTGTAATTACAAATGAAAACTAGAATGACTGGGTGATATAGTCATGGAGCCATGAAGTTTTCAATTCTTTCCTTTCATCAGACTTGAAGAGTGACCTAACCACAAATTGTCAAATGACAGATGATTCAAAACAACTTTTGATACCATCACTATGTAATTTTTGGCACATAACCCAGAAGTTAAAAAAAAAAAATCCAGCAATGCTATTATAGCAAACTTCATCCATTCCTATCTATCAATTTATGTGAATCAGATTCCACAGTACTTCTTATCTAGGGGAAAAAAACAGGATGAAATTGATGTTGAACTCTATTTCATTCTAATAATCAATAGGCAGTATTTATCTATGAATTAATTGTGTCTGGGAGACAGGGTAAGGAATCAGGTAATCTCATCCATCACATTAATATATGCACTTTCACTGTATTGTGTTTATTTATTTATTTTTGGCCAAGTTACATGACTTGTGGTTCCTGGACCAGGGATTGAACCAGGCCTTGGCAGTGAAAGCCCAGAATCCTAACCATGAGGTCACCAGGGAACCTCCCAGATGTACTTTTAATAAATCTTTTCTTAATGTTTAACAATTACTTATCAAAATATCAAAATATATAATACATTTATGTTGTTTTAATCAATTGTATAATTATGGTGATAATTCTATCCAGAACAAATAATTTTAAATTTTTACTGAAACAAGTTTTTGTTTCAAAGAAATACGGTAGGAAAAACTAATAAAAGACATTCAAGCATAAAAGTAGATTAGGGTAAGATGAAATTCTATGGGGGAAGTGAATGAAAATATCAGCTTAAAAAAACAAAGAAAGAAAAAAAGAAAACAAAGAAATGATATAAATCTGTTAAAAAGTATATTCATGTATTTTTTTAAACAGATGACAGTGGTATTAATTTACTCTTGGATTCAGGTTACATGAAACATAGTTAGAAAAGTGAAGCAATCATTTCATTTTTATATGTCCTATAATACGCCCCAAAATGGGCACATTTTTTGCTACTATTTAAACTTAAAAACTTTTAAGTCAACCTAAAAATGTGCAAGGGGATACACAGTTTTAAAAAAAATTATCTTAGGAGGTAAACAAACAAAAATGTTTGAAAACGTCTTGTCTTGGAAAACAGCATGCTGCCCCCATGGAACAGCTCCTGTTCCTGTCATATGCCCAGGCAGATCACTGTCATCTGGTGATTCAGCTGTGCTAATAATCTACCTCATCGCTAATGAGCACATGGATGCCTGTTGGCCCCTGCTTGTAGATCTGGCTGATCTGGCAAGGGGAAATGCTGAAAAGCTGAGCAATTTTTTCTGTCAGTTCAACAGCTGTCAGTTCTTCTAGGTAGATGGCATGGTAAACTGCAAAAGGGAGAAAGCAAAGACAGTCAGCACAGAGTTTCTCTGCTCTTAAAGGCAATCAGATCACTTCGAATGCCCACTTTTTCTAAAGGATGCAGAAGCAGACTGCCTGAATGGAAATCCCAGCTCAATCACTTGTTAGCTGTGCGACCTGGGGCAAGTTACTTAACATCCCTAAGCCTCATTTTCCTCATCTAAATGTTGGGGAAGAACAATAAAATCTATTGCAATGAGGAGACACCAGTTGTAAGAATACAACTAAGAATAGTGCTTGGTGTATATTAGGAACTCAATAAACATTAGAGCAATTACCATTACTTTTAGCAAATCCTGACTCTGCTGCCTGATAAATTCCCATCACACATGCTCGTAAGTCATCTCTTCATTTTTCTTCGTATCTGTCCTGGCCTGTCCAGAACGACCTACCGAAGAAAGTACCATTTGAGTCTCCATCCTCATGCTTCTGCTGGTTCTGTTGCTGTTGCTGCTGCTCCCTTAGCTGCAAGGATTCCTGACAAACATAAATGGTTAGCCTTGGGCGCACCATCCTGAGGAGGAGGGAAAAAAAAAAAAGAACTGTTAGTCACATTTCTCATGGTGAGCACATTTTACGAAAGAACCTGTGTATCTACATTACTACTATAGAGCACAGGTTGCAAACTGGCAGCCCTTGGGCCAGTGCAGCTCATTTGCTATGAATTATTACTCCTCACTGGGGTATGTGTGTGTCTAACTGAATTCATTCCAACAGAAGGCATCATCAACCTCTGAATCTTTGGTTTTCCTTGAAAAATCCAAGGTCCTCATTCTACAAAACAAAATCCAATCTGCTGTCCCACAGGCATGGTGCTCCTGCATTCTTCAGCACACCCTAGACTTGACTGTCACTCATTTACACGTGGCCTCTGTAGTCACTGAGTTTGTAACCTTTGATGTAAACGTTAGAAGGATTCAGTATGTGTGAGCCACTATTTTGTAAGGTGCAAAGATATACCTTTTACTTAAGAGCACCAATGCCACAGACTAGAAAATCTCATTTCCCTCATTACTGTCGCCTAGTCACTTTAGTCTTTCTTCTGTTCTTTCTTCATAGACAACCATACTGAATTACCTCTTGCTCTGATCATCTTATTCCTTCCTACTTCTAAATGCTCTGTAGATCATACATTTAAAAATGAATGATCCAAAAAAAAATGAATGATCCATTCTTTTTCAGATAGTAATCAACCCTTGAATTTCACCTCTTTGCTTAAAAGTTTCCAACTTGATTTAATATCTCTAATAATAAACAAAAATACTTCATAATCTTATTTCATTATTGAGTTACTGATTTGGTTCTATGGCACTGACCTGTATTTTTTTTCCATCAATATTACCACTACCTACTTTAAATTGTAAATCCCAAACAGAGACTTGAAATTAAGCAGACCTTAATTACTCTGCTTAATTACTCTCAGGCATTACTCTTACTTGGTATTAAGCAGACATTCTATGAATTCCTGCCAAAACCTAAGAATGAGCTCTTATCTAGTAAAACTGAGTCCAGGACCTTTGTACCTGCTGTTTCTTCTGCATAGAACCTTCTTCCCTCATGACTGCAAAGCTTCCATCCTTCTCATAACTCAGTTTAAATATCCCCTCTGCAGAAAGGTCTTCCCTGACTATATTCTGAGTACTCTACAAGCTACAATTTTGTTTTTGTTTGTTTTTCTTTAAAACACTTATTACTATTCAAAATACTTATTGTGTATCATCTTTCTCTCTCTCTCTCCAGAAAGCTCATCAATGTATCACCAAAGCCTAATGGCTCATAATAGGGACAATGAATATTTAATTAAATGAGAAAAGCTACCTGGAAATGAAAAATGAAATATCATGAGGAATTTCTTGGATCAAGTACAGGAAAAGATAATTTTCATCTTTATTTGGCACACAGCTGGCATTCAAATAGAATGTTTTGACAAGATGTATTTAGCTGCACAGAGTATTCTGAAGAGTCCCTGAATCCAAATCCATTTGGAATCCAACCCCACTGATACTTTAACACTAATTACATACCGGCCTTTTAATGCATTAAAAAGTCTGATTCCATCTGCAGGGCCACAGATTTGAATCACATCATCTCTAGTTAGTTTCAATAAATCTGCTCCTGGAATAAATATAAGCAAATGGGTGATAAAGGTAAAGATTCTCTTTGTTAATGACTTTTAAAATGGACTCTTACAAGGACACCTCATTACCAGTAAGCTATAGTCATAATCTTTTGCATGGGATATAAAGCCTTCCATGACCTGGCCTCTGTATCCTCTCCCTTCTCAATTCCGACCCAATTAACTTACTCATTCAACCATATGCTTTCATCATACTGATCATGCCTAATAAGTAAGTTGTTCCTCCTGCCTAAAATATCCTTCCACTCTCTGACTAAGAGACTCCTCCTCAGCCCTCAAGATTTACCTCATGCATCACGCATGTTCCCTAACTCCAGACCCTTCTCCAAATGCTTAACTTTGTCTACATTTATCTAATGCATCACAACTATTTGTTTTCCTTCTTTCAAGGTTTTATTTTGATTTGGATTTTCTTTGATACTAGATGGTAACTGAACAGGAGCTATGCCTTATCTATTTATATATTCCTACCATACATGGTACATAGAAGATGCTAAATAAAAGTGGAATGTGCAAAGAAAATATAATATAGTAATATCAGGGGGGAAATTTCAGACTACGTGCAATGCCTCTTGATAAAATACTGTATGGATAATATATTTTAAAGGTATTGTAGAGAATAAATATTTTAAAATTAAAATGAGTTTAAGAGGTTTTCTTTTTGAGTATTTCACAGCACAGTTGCAGCTGGTGAGAAAATCTGAAGAGTTCAATGAAATTCATTTAATCAGAAAAATACATTAAGAGTCACCGCTCCCTCCCCCAATACACACACACAAAATAACACAGGAATATCAGGAGTTCCTAGAGTATAAAAGAAATCCCATGCTGGCAAAACAAAGGATAAGCAAATTTAACCTGAGAAGTTTGTAAAAAGCCTCGTGAACGTGGAGAAACGGTTTCGATGCAACCACTGCTGGGCCTCCTGAGGTGTGGTTGTTGGCAAGAGGTTCTGAAAAAGGGAAAGTATTTTTTTTGGTAACTAAACAGACTCAACTTTAAAAAGGTAAACACTACAACAGCCAAATACACCCACATTCAGACAGAGTTTGCTCAGAAGCTGTTTATACATCAGGTCTTCTTTCTCTAACCATGCAAGATATCCATGAAATTCCATCTTTATCCTTCCGACTAGACTGAAAGTTCCTTAAATACAGCAGAGTATCTGGTTCTTAGTCGAAATTTAATAAATGTTTGCTTAGTGAAAGAATGAATAATACTCCCTAAAAGTTGAGAATTTCTACTGAATCACACAGTCACCGAAGTATTATTAGACATTGCCAGTAACTGACATTTAACTTTGGACTTACATCTGTGACTGGAGGGGGTGGCTCTGGCTGGTGGTTTGGTGAACCATTTCTAAAGAAACATTTAAAATGAGAGGATGAGTCCATGAAACATAATAGGGTTTGTCGTCTCACTCTGCATCATTGTAAGCCTCAAAGCTAGAGATTTAAAGGAATTTGTACTATCTCATAAAACATTCTTAACTCTTGGATCCAACTTTTCTATTATCTATTATTTTAGCATAAGGACTTTGGGGTGGAAGCAGTAGAAACTATGTCATTTTTTATTATTGAAGAAATTGAAAAAAATATAAAAAATCCAGTAAGTTAGGACTGATTAAATTATGGCATAAACAATACTAACATGAGCTTATTAGACTATAAACTAAAAATATAAAAATATAAAAGTAATCAATATATTACTACTATGTGAAACATATAAATATATACAAATAGATACAAAAAAATTAAATAAAAAGTATACAATAAAATGTAATCACACTTTTATAATAAAAAACACTTAATAATTATTTTTTAAAAAGCTTCAAAAATTAGTACTAATTTGTGATCCAAGGGCTATCTCCACACCCTTGAGTATTCCCTACAGTTCTTTTTGCTCAGTAGTTTGTCCCTCTTCTCTAATGCTTACTTCTTTTATGGGAGAAAAATTAAAGCCTAATATTGAACTACATGACAAAGAGAAAATTTTAGAACTCTCAAGTTTTGCATAATATTTTAAATTCTCTATAAGTAGACTGCATAATCCATAGGGTGGTAACAGATTTTTCTTTTAAAAAATATCTTTTTCTTTTTTAAAATTTTGGCCTTTGCTGCAAAATTCAAATTTAGTAATCAACTTATCTTAGGGCCTTAGTTATCTATCTACTCCTTCTGCAACTGCTATCTAGTTTTATTCTTAATTGTTAGTTACATTTTGAATATTTTAGCTAACCGCCCCTCCCCCCTTTTTTGGCTGTGCTGCACAACCTGCAGGATCCTAGTTCCCTGCCAGGGACTGAACCCGTGCCCCTTGCAGTGGAAGTGTGGAGTCCCAACCACTGGACCACCAGGGAATTCTCTAAGCTACCTTAATTAATACTTTCAGAAGCAGCATGAACATAGAGCCTAAATAAACTCAAAAGCAAACATTATAATCAAACTAGTCACACATTTCACAACCTATTTCAAATTTCAATATGTCCTATGTAGAAAATGTGTTGAATGCTGGGACTAGAATACAACTTTTTTTTAACTAGAGTAGGCATCTATGCCAACTTTCAAACAGATTTTAGTGTCTGTACAACTGTGTTTCAGTTCCCAATGACCATGCTATAATCAGGAAGTGAAATAACCTCAAGATAAGCAGTAAGAAGAGGGGAAAAGTCCAGAAAATCAGTCTGCAAATCACTAAACACTGACCATGATGCTATTTTCTAAGAGTTGAGAGAAGGGAATTCCCTGGAGGTCCAGAGGCCTGGGTTCAATCTCTGGTTGAGGAACTAAAATCCTGTAAGTCTTGTGGCATGACCAATAAATAAATAAATAAAATAATGTGGAGGGGTGGGGGAGGCTACATAAAACTTAAAGTCTTTTTTGAAGATAATCCAAACCTCAGTTAATATATAAGTCCATCAAAGACTGACCAAATAGAAGTTCTTACTGACTTGCGAAGATTTTGCTTATGGAGACATAATGAAATAATATATTTTTAGGACAAACACAAGCCATTTCACTTTCTAGACTTACCCTTCACCAAGAGAAAAGCTGCTATGGGAACTGTTGAAGCCAGGTGATGGGGAATTATTGACATATGTGATCTCAGGCCACGGAGAACACTAAAAACAAAGGACAATTTAGACGCAGAAAGTACATGACTCAAGAGCTCCACCAAAACACTGTTACTTAAATAGCCCATCTTTTTTTTTTTTTTTAATTTCCAGGTGGTGCAGTGGTAAAGAACCCACCTATCAATGCAGGAGACACAAGAGAGTGCAGGTTCAATTCCTGGGTTGGGAAGATACTCTGGAGGAGGACATGGCAACCCACTCCAGTATTCTTGCCTGGAGAATCCCATGGACAGAGGAGCCTGGCGGGCTACAGTCCATGGGGTTGAAGAGAGTTGGATGCGACTAGGCACGCGCGCGCAGACACACACACACACACAGAGTTGGTTTACAATGTGGTAGTAGTTTCAGGTGTATAGCAAAGTGAATCAGTTATACATATACCATATATCTACTCTTTTTTTTTTTAGATTCTTTTCCCATATAGGCCATTGAAGAATATTGAGTAGAGTTCCTGTGCTATACAGTAGGTCCTTATCAATTATCTATTTTATATATAGTAGTATGTATATGTCTGGGGAAGGGCATGGCAACCCACTCTGGTATTCTTGCCTGGAGAATCCCCACGGACAGAGGATACTGGTGGGCTACAGTCCATGGGTCACAGAGAGTCAGACACGGCTGAGCGACTAAGCGCAGCACTGCACGGACTGTGTACGTCAATTCCAGTCTCCCAATTGAGCCTGATCCCCTGGTAACCATAAGTGTGTTTTCCACATCTGTAACTCTATTTCTGCTTTGTAGATAAGTTCATTTGTCGAATAGCACACCTTTTTTTTTTTTGGCCATACTGTGCGGCATGTAGGATCTTAGTTCTCTAATCAGGTATTGAACCTGTGCCCCCTGAATTGGGAGCGTGGAGTCTTAACCACTGAACCAGCAGAGAAGTCCCTCAAAAAGCACATCTTGATTAGTAAATTTTAATTCCTCATAAGTCCTCACAACTAAGAGAACAAATAAGTTTTGATCAGACTAGAACTGATGTTTCTTCTATTTTTTTAAAATTGAAATATAACTGACAAATATTTATAATATTAGTTTTAGGTATACAACATAATGATAATATGTATACAGTTGACCCTTGAGCAACATAGCTGTTAGGGGTACCATCTCCTTCTCCACAGTCAAAAATCTGGGTGTAACCTGATAGTCAGTCCCCTGTATCTGCACCCCTATATTCAACTGCAAACCATGTAGTACTGTAGTCCACAGTTGTCTGCGTATTCAGTCATGTTTCACTCTACACAACCTGATGGACTGTAGTCATTCCCTCCTCTGGGGGAATCTTCCCGACCCAGGGATTGAACCCAAGTCTCTTGCATCAGCAGGCTGATTCTTTACTACTGTGTCACCAGGGAAGCCCTAGTATTAATACATATTTAGCAGGGAGAAAAAAAATCTATGTATAAATAGATCCATGACATTCAAACCTGTGTTGTTCAAGGGTCAATAGGCTATTACAAAATAACTGGATATTTCTTTTAAGAGTAAAAAGTACTGATTGAAACTGTCACCCAAAGAAATCCTTTTACCTCTGTGAGTATGGTTGTCTCATAGGAAGGCTGATATTTCTCCTTCTCATGAGGTGTTCGTTTCTCCATTTTCTCCCTATCTGTTTTTTGTTTTCTGTCTGCACCTTTGGGCTGAAAGGAGAAATATTCCATTTAAACTCAAGTACTCACCCTTCGATTCAACATTACTTTTACAAACTTAGACTAATCACTTGTGAAACAAAAAGGTATATACAATGAGGTAAAGACAAGATCCATCGTTAAATCTAAGTCTGAAAATGGGATATTTATGTGTAATGGAATTGAAGGCGAGTAAGAGATCTATAGCTTCAGACATGGAAAAATCTCTAAAGCACATAGTTAAGTTATAAAAAAAGCAAGCTTCAAAACAATTCATACAATACAATTTTGTTTGTTTCAAAGAAAGGAAAATACGTGTATATCTATGTACATGTGTATATAAGAGCACAGAAGTGAATTAGAATACATATGAAATTATTGACACTGGTTACCTCTGAGGAGAGGTTGGGGGGGTCAGGGTAAGAGTGGTAAAGGGGGACTTCATGTTATGCTCCAAATACTTTCATATTAATGAATCTTGCAATGAGAAGATATTTATCCATATGATATCCCTACGATCCCTTTTCCAAGTTCCCCTTCTCCCACCATCCCTATTTAAACTTCTTTACTGGGCAGCTCAGTACTTATTTCACTAACTCTAATTTAGGCTGGGCTTTCATAGTTTTTGAAGAGACAAGCTGACTCTCTCACTTGGTGGCTAATGTTGCAAATGAAAGGCAAGGAAAAAAAGTCCAAGGACCAGCGCAAAGCCCAGGAATACCTTGAAGACTTTGATCTGGCAGCTGGCTGAGTGTAAGTGCTCAGTATACTCCCCGTTCTCATTCTCCTTGAAGGTATCAATTTGTACTCGAAATGGCACTCCCTTCTCACCACCATGTTTCCTCATGGTGAACTCTGTGCTAATACAATGCACCTGAAAAGAATATACCATCCAGCCAGGTTTCAGTACTATTAGGAGCCAAACCAGTCAGCAACATTTTAGGGCAACAGCAAAACCTTTAAACACCTACAAAAAAAAACACTTATACTCTCTTTCTGATCATGAAGAATTTATACTCTCATGAGGAAATGAGGAAAACTTCAATGATTTACAAATGCAAACAAAGTAAATGTACAGCTCTAATGTTAACAAAAAGCTTCTCTGAAGAATACATTAATTATTTCAGAAAAGACAGAGTTAACATGAAAGAGAAATGGTTTCTGTTAATGAAACTCTCCTGAAATTTATGGTAGATTTTAGAAAACAGAGGCATCATCCATGCTGGGAGAATAGTAAATATGAAAGCTCATGAGCAATAGGAAGAAAACTATTTGCTAGGCTACTGCATAAAGTCCAAGATCTTAATAAATCTTCACAGTGGAGCCCTGGTTGACCAAATACTAGCCTGGGTAAGTTATTAACTTATCTAAGACTCAAGGAATATTCTTACTCCACAGGATTCTTGTTGAAAGTCTTAAAATCATGGGTAAAAAGTGTTAACACAGTGACTATCTGATGAGAAGCACTCAATAAACTACTGGCTATCATTACAAATAAGAGTTTTCAGGCAGTCTACCCAAAGGACATAATCAGATATGCAAATCAAATTCTAACTATGAAGATGTTCAGAATAACTTCTTTGGTATACTGAAAAATGAGGACAATCTCAATGCTAGACAACTGTTAGGTAAGTTTATCTCAAGAATAAAATATTAAAAAAAAAAAGAATAAAATATTATGCAGGCATTAGCAAGTATTTTTGAGAGAAACAAATAAACTGGGAAGAGCAACTCAGAAACTCCTCTTTGCTCTCACATGTTGAGAAGTCTGCACTTGTTTAGAAGTTTACAGGTTGCAACCCTGGAAAGATTTAAAATTCAATACGTTTTTATCCTTTAAGGACCAAACTGGTGGTAAGGTATCCTTTTTAAAACTGGAGCCCTGTCCACAGTGTCTTACCTGAATAAAAACAGACGTCCTTTTCGCAGGGTCCCACAAGAACTCCACTGTGTTTAGTTGGTTTGGGTTAGCCCTAGGATCGATTATACCCACAGACATTGGGATATCTGAGAAATAAATGGTGATCATTGAACAATTCTGGGTGCTACTGGGTTTAAATAAGAAAGCACGGATTCTTCTATCATTGGTCCCAAACTACCAAGATTTTTGTGTATCATACCCTAAACCTCTTTTTTTTTTGCCAAAAGAGTCCAATTAGAGCTAAAATTGATCTAAGTACTTTCCTTCTGAGCATCTCTTTTCCACTTTAAAAAGTTTTTAAAATAAGACAATTTATGAGTAGTTTCCTTTTAATTTGCCAGATATCTACTTAGAGATAAACTTAGTCTATGCACTGGCTCTAGTGTCATGAAAAATTTCATTTACAGTCTGCTTCACTTACAGTTTTAAGGACAGTGTTACTGCTAGAGAAAAACTAAGAGGATTGTTATAGAAGGATAAAGCAGAGTGTCCAAATAAAGACAGAAATCACTGCATCACAAATATAAATGGGTAAATTTAACATAACAGTTGATGCTGACTCATGAAGTCATCAAAGAATCCTGTAATATAATGACACAACTTATACTCAAGAGGGGAGGAAAATGAATGAACTTTAGAACTTTACTTTCTGTTCCATATGGCATATATTTAAATATTATTCCCTGACTGCTATTAATAATTCAAATTGAGGGATAAGGCCAGATAATATTTGTTATTATAACTATGCTATAACTTCTCTACTGTTTTAACATCAATGATTCCAACAACAAAGCATTAAGTGGGTCCCACTCCACACTATTAGCTGTGTTGGACTTATCCTAAAGTCAGTTTATCAAATGGATATCAAGATATCTGTAGGAGAACCAGTGTTTTCTCAGATAAAATTAGTAATACTTAGGTCTGTTTAGCAACTGTTTACCAATAGGAGATAATAACCAATAAGAGATCAAGGACAGATGCCAGAACTAAAAGTATATTCACGAAGAGAGGCTAACACTGTAGAGTTTGGATGTATATATGTGTGTGTGTGTATGTGTATGCCTGTGTATCACATCTTCTTTATCCATTTAACTGTTGATGGACACTTAGGTTGTACACACATCTTGGCAACTGTAAATAATGCTGCTAGCATATTAAAAAGCAGAGACATTACTTTGCCAACAAAGGTCCATCTAGTCAAGGCTATGGTTTTTCCAGTGGTCATGTATGGATGTGAGAGTTGGGACTGTGAAGAAAGCTGAGCGCCAAAAAATTGATGCTTTTGAACTGTGGTGTTGGAGAAAAGACTCTTGAGAGTCCCTTGAACTGCAAGGAGATCCAACCAGTCCATCCTAAAGATCAGTCCTGGGTGTTCATTGGAAGGACTGATGCTGAAGCTGAAACTCCAGTACTGTGGCCACCTCATGCGAAGAGTTGACTCATTGGAAAAGACCCTGATGCTGGGAGGGATTGGGGACAGGAGGAGAAGGGGACAACAGAGGATGAGATGGCTGGATGGCATCACCAACTCAATAGACATGAGTCTGAGTAAACTCCAGGAGTTGGTGATGGACATGGAGGCCTGGCGTGCTGCGATTCATGGGGTCATAAAGAGTCTGACATGACTGAACTGAACTGAACTGATGAATGTTGAGGCGCATGCATCTTTTTGAATTGGGTGTTTTTGTTTCTTTTGGATACATACCCAGGAGTGGAAATGTTAGGTCATATGATAGTTCTATTTTTAGCTTTCTGAGAAACCTCCATACTGTTTTCCACAGTGGCTATACCAACTTAATTTCCACAACAGTGTATAAGGGTTCCCAAAGAGAAGGAAACTGTAACACATGCTACTATATGTATGAATCTTGAGGGTTATGCTAACTGAAATAACCTAGTCACAAAAAGACAAATGCTGAATGATTTCATTTATATGAAGCACCTATAGCAGTTAAATTCATACAGATAAAAAGTAGAATGGTGGTTACCAGGGGCTGGGGAGAGGAAGGAATGGGAAATTGTTGTTTCATGGATATAGAGTTTCAGTTTTGTGAGATGAAAAAAATTCTAGCGATGGATGGTAGTGATGGTTTGTGCAACAATGTGCATGTACTTAATGCAAATGAATTATATACTTAAGAATGGTTAAAATGATAAATCTTATATATATTTTACCACAACTAAATTAAAAAACAAAAACAAAAATCATTCTTTAGTAATGGATGCAGTTGTTACAGAACTGAAGTGTCTACACTTTCAACTTGAATTTTGGAATCATTATACCAGTAATATTTTATGCTTGTTCATGTTAATTGAGCCCCTGGAGCATTTTGAGTCAAGGCAAATGTCAAGTAAAGAAAACCAATTCACAGACCATAGTTAAAGGCATTTCCTAAGCAATGGATTCTCTTAACTTACCTATGTCAAGAATTCTATCTCCAGGTCGGTTCCACCTCCAGCCCTCCAGCTGCTGATGTTCTGTGTACTGTAGCCGTCTGTCATGGAACACAACACGGAATATGCTCTGAAAGGAAACAACAAAATCAAATGATAACAGGATCCCTTAAAAATCAGTACTGACAAAGAAAACTAGCAGGAGTCACCCCCAGTTGGCTTCTAGACACAACCTAAAATTATTTTTCTTGAGACCTGTTTTACTTTAAAACCCATACCATTCTATATTTCCAGGCAAACTTTATAATTGCTCAAATATAATCTTCATAGTTAACTAGTACCATAATTAAAACTTGGCTTAAACATTAGCCCTGACTGGTAACTAGGCATAAAGAACTCCCACTGGAAGCATTATTACATGTGTCTACTGCTACCATGTAATGTCTGGCTCAGTTCTTTAGATGTATATGAAATTCTTACCAAGTCCCTTGCTTGCTAACCCACCATACAACCTGTAAACGAGGGTAGGTAAGGGCTACTTCCATCAACTTTCCTTTTGTTACTCTTACATTGTGGAGATGTGTGTTAACATCTCTCTCATCATCTTCTACAGCAGCTGACCAAACTCCTCCATCTCAATTATACTGTGAATTCATTACTATCAGTCCAGACTAAGAAAACTGCTATTCATCAACAGTAGCTCCTGGTTTCCTTGCTACTAGACCAAGTATACAAAGACACACTGGAACTTCTCTAAAGACCTCAAGGAGGCTACTTTATTCCTCCTAAAAAGAACTACACTGAGTCATGAGACTTTCCAGGCCTGGTATGGTAAGTTTTCTCTTTCGACAGCTCTGAAAAATCCAGGTGAATAGGTGGGTTCATTCTGGCCCCTAAGAAATAACACAGCAGTTTACCACTCTGCCAACACACTATAGTAGGTGAGAGATTACCACCAAGCCCCTTAGAAAAGAAAAAATATTAATCCAAAAAGGGTCAGTACTTGTTTTCTTTTACCTTCACCAACTTGCCATTAATTTCTGGAAGTTCTCCAAGTTTCCTGTTGTCTAGCATTCGGATTTCATAAGACTGTCCTAGAAGAAAAAAGTAACTATATATTGGGATTGGGATGGGGAATACATGTAACTCCATGGCTGACTCATGTCAATGTATGACAAAACCCACTGCAATGTTGTGAAGTAATTAGCCCCCAACTAATAAAAATAAATGAAAAAAAAAGTACCTATATATTATATTTATCACAGGTTAACTTCTCAAGATTCAAAAAGAATAAAATTCAGTTGTCTGAATACACAAGAGTGTAACATTATTAGTATTAGTAGCAACTATAATCCTTTACTATATGCTAGGCACAATGCTAAATGTTTGTCATAAATTATATCATTTAATTGATACAACTCTCTAAGGTATTAACAATTTCGGTTTCACATCTAAGGAAACTGAAATGCAGAGTTTAATCAACTTGTCCAAGGTCACACAACTGGTAAATGAAAGAGCTGGATCCAGTAATACTTCTCAGACAGTAACAAATAGGGATGTTCAGGGAACAGGGATTAGAAAAAGGGAGATTGGAACTAAAAATGGGCAGGCAGAGGAAAGAAACTGGTAATGTTTATCAAATACAACACTGAAACTCAGATTTCTAAAGTAAGTTTGTTTTTTTTTTAAAGTAAGTTTTGACTTTAACAGGTCACACTAGAAAGGTATAGTTTTTACATGTATGTGTACCCAATTAAATATCACAAACCCAGTAGGTCCATAAACTATACCAATGAGTAAGACCACATCTCACCTTGATTGAGATATGTCAGAGTCTCATCATGGAGTTTCACTGCTGGGGAGGTGGCAGCACACAGCACGTATTGAAAAGGGAGGATTTTATTCTCATTATCTGGAGGCAGACTTGATTCTTCTTGCTTAAAGATGGGCAGTGCAAGGACATCACTAAAATAAAACAAATGCCTGACTTTAACATCTGACAATGGTGTAAGAGCAGATTTAATACTGAAGCCTTTAACTGCAGTTTGCTTTCAAAAACCATAAACATTACTCACTGTGAAGTTTCTTCCTAACCATCCAGTTCAGGTTACCTGCTGGGATATCCCTCTGACCCCAACAATGTGGGCAGTGACAGACATTCACTGCTAAAAATCACTTAAGTGTCCAAAGAGCATTTCTAGGAATCACAGACAGGGGTTCCTAAAACGGCTCTGAAAATCGTATGCAGATTTTCCAAATTTTGTTCCAAAATGTCAATTTAGGACACTCAGTGATGTGTTTGTTCTCACAAAGGCACCAACTACAGTATTTTTATAACCACATCAGCTCATCTACTGTAAGGATTTAAACAAGAATCAAAATTCCAAGAAACCAAATGAAAAGCACAAATCAATGACCAGTATCAAGGTCAGCTCACATTCTATGGAATACAACTAACATGGAGATATCCCTACCAGCAACCTCTTCCAAGAAAAAGCTTCTTATATTTCCATCAGTTTATCTAAACTTGCAAACCAAACACACACATTTGATGAATTCTAGTATGTTACTCCTTCGGGTGTCCTAGTTAAACAGTAGGGGACCAAGTTAGAAGTCCTGGGTTTCAGTCTCTAAAACCCTTGGGCAAATCTTAGGCAAGTTATTTTGAGTGTTCATCGCTTCATCTATAAAATGGAACCACATCTGCTGTCAAGAGTAAGTATATGAGAAAGTATCTCGGAAATAATAAGGGGCTAAAACGTATGTAAAAGATAAGCAATAACTTCCCCTCAGAACCTCTAGCCATGGTTAGTGAGAAAGAATATCCTGGGCCCTGGAGACCAACTGTTGTGATCAGCATTCAGCACAGATAAAACTTTAAAAAGATTTTAAGAGCTGTATCAAATTAAAGAGCATTTCCTATTATCTCAAGACATGCCACAAAATTCTCAAAATAAAATGTATTTTAATTTAAAGACTATGTATATATACTCACTAGGGCAGCTAAAATGAAGAGGAAGGAGAACCCAAGTGTTGGCAAGGATGTGGAGCAACTAGAACTCTCATCCTTTGCCAGCAGGAATGTAAAATGATGCAACCACTTTAGAAAAATGGTAGGCAGTCTCTTACAAGAGTAAACATGCACTGGCCCCTTGATCCAGCAATTCTACTCATAGGTATTTATCCAAGAGAAATGAAAGTATAAGACCAGCCAAAGACTTACACATACATATCCAAAGCATACAAGCAAAAACTGGAAAGAATCCAAATGTTCATAACTAAGAAAATGGATATATTAATACAAACTGCAGTATACTCATACAATGGAATACTACTCAGCAAAACAAGGAACTCAACAAAATGGTTGAATCTCACAGATGTGATATTGAACCAAAGAAATCAGAAAAATGAATGTATTAATATAATGCATGATATATGATGTTCTAAAACAAGCAAAATTAAAAAGGACTACCAGGGCAGGGATCAACTGTGCAGGTATACAAGGGAATTTTCTAGAATATAAAAGTGTTCTATATTATGTTAGGTATATGGATTACATAGTTGTAAAGTACAGCTGAAATTCACTTTAACATATATAAATTTTACAAAAAAAAAAAATTAGTAAGTGGAGGATGAGAAATGGTAGGGGCTTCCCAGGTGGTGCTGGTAGTAAAGAATCTATAAAAGAGTCATCATATGTAATATTTAAAGCTGGGGGATATGTGCAAGAGGATATGTACAAAATCATTATTTTCTTAATATATGTTTGAAATTTTCTATAATAAAGTGTTTTTTTAAACAGAAAAAATATGTATAGGCCACAGCGTACTTGCACATATATAAAAGAAAAGTAAAAGATACATGACATAAACAGTTGACACTAAAAGGTTAGAGGTCAGGGATGCAGTGACTCATCAACATTCTCCACATTCAAAATGAAATACACTCAAACTTTTACCTATAATTTAAATATTATGCTTATGTTATAAACAAGAGATCAATATCAACTTTACTAAGCACAGATGGAAAGGCAATTCCTTATGTATACCTATATCCCTCAGCAGTCTACATTACTCCCAAACATTATATTATAAAATTATTACATTCAGGCAAAAACAATCATTTATAGAAAAATGACTATATGGGGAATACATGTAAAAAAAAAAAAAGATACACTATGGTTGTGATAAAAAATAAATAAATAAATAAATAATAAAAAAAAAGAAAAAAAAGAAGTTCAGTAGAAGGATTAGGACATAAATTTAAGGAAATAATCTAGACAGCAGAACAGAGAGACAAGGGCAAAGGAAGTAGGAGAAAAGAGGCAAGGAAGATCAGGTCCAGGATCCAACTCACAGGAGCTTCAGAGAGGAAAGAGGAAGAAGGAAATTATTAAATAAAAAAAAAAAAAAAGAAAAATGACTATAACCATGCAAATCACAAAAACATCATAAGTCTTATTGGAATATAAAACAAGCAACAAATGTTCTGATTACTGATCTAAGAATACACATAGTATAATAAAAATTTAATGGTATAAACGCTAAAGAAAAAAAAAGGAGGGTTAGAAAAGAAAGAAATTTCTCTTTCAAGTGACATCTAATGTTTAGCAAGGCTATATGCATTATGAGTTGAATCCGGGACGCCGAGATGCAAATCAGTATTAGTGAAACACAGGTTCCTTACAGCTAAAAAGAGTTTCAAAGGCAAGAAAAACAAAGCGTGCTTTCCTTTTCCTCAGGTCTGGAGGCGTGTGTGCTCTGTTCACACCATGGTGTTAAGGGTAGAGAAGGCAGGGAATCCTTTCTGTCCATATTAATTTGTCAGGGGAGATGTACTATGGTACCTCTGAGATAATAGTATAAAACGTAGAAGCACTGGGGTTTCTAGAAAAGTACTCTGTCCCAGTTCTTCTTCTCAGGAAAATGAGGAAGCTACCACTGCTTCCACAGCAAACAGTGTGGAAAGTAAAGCAAAATTAAGAAACATGACATCAGTCTTTAGGAGTCTTAGGTGCCTTATCATTCCCAAATGCATCATACCTGAATCCTTGAAGGATTCCTGATGACTACCAAGAATCAAGGCCAATCAGATTTTGCAACATAGCAACAGCTGAAACACTATGAATGTAGAGTGGTTGTGTTGTTTTTTCCTCAAGTTATTAGTGCCTAGTGAGGTTAATATATAACAACAGTTTGTAGTCTTCTCAATATAATGTGGCATTATACCTAGCCCCTTGTGACTAAGCAAAGGGCTGTCAATTGAGGCTAGAATTCTAAAACTGATTCTACAAGGTACCCCTAAAATCAACTCAAAACAGTACAGCCAACCCAAGTACTCTCTCATTAGAGATTTTAAAATCTAAAATCCTTGATTATAATCACTCGTGTTCTTGCCACATGAGCTGCTTTTACTCTGCTGTGGGAGCAAGAATCCATTCAGCTCCACATTCTTAGAAGTGAAGGCTAAAGGTCACTGATAAACACAGCTCTAGTCCCCTGCTTATCCCACAACAATAACAATTCAGCAGGAAACAATTTTGAAATACAGAAGTCTGTTCCTCCTCTGACGTAAACTGAGTGCTGCTTTGGAAAACCAACTCTCGTGAACTCTAAGTGGTTCTTACCAATTTAGCATTTTATTGTATTCTCTGCCTCATATACTTAATTCATTCCAGTGAAACATGAGCTGTTTAAAGGGAATAACTACTCCTTGGTGTGCTGAAATGCTTGTTGACATGATTTATATTTTTGTTTATTTGCCTGCATTCTCCAGAATATTCAGTCCTAGTATATTCTGATCATTTATGAATTCTCAACAGTTCACAGTATCTCTGGTTAAATGTAAGGATACAGAAACCTTACCTGTTAAAGTTGACGGCATGTTAAAAATGTGTGCCACTAAGTAGAAAACCACCCCTGAGTGCAGAGGCCTAGCAGAAAGCATCTGACTGGAAGTCACAGAGGGACAGAAACAGTATCAGGTACGAGCTTTCCTGTTGGTAACTGGGATCCCATGAGGAGCTGCTTCACGGCCCCCTGAAGTATAAATTACCCTTTTGAGATAAGGCAGCCTCTGAATGGTCTCTACTAGTGCACACCTACAGTTTAACCTTCTCCCTCAGGCCTGCCAGTTCCCGAACCCTCTTCTAGAGAGCCTGGAGCAAAGAGAGGAAGAGGCTTGATGAGCTTCACCTTGAGTAAGAGAGGTAAACAGAAAGGTGTCCATAGCAACTAAGGAAATTAGAAACTAACTTGGGACAATGAGATGCCGTGAACGTCTAACTTCCCTATTTATAATACTTTAGACTCCGTCATGATGAAAAGAAAACATCCCAGCATTCCCATGTTAGTCACAGCGTGAAAGGACAAGGACCGAAGAGACTGTACACCCTACTCTGAGGTCAGCCTCAAAAGACAGAAAGTAAAAATAAATAAAGAAAAAGACAAAAAAAGTATCCAGTAAATAACTGGCTATGACACTTTTAAAGAGGAGACGACAGCAGAATGATTTCCTGGGATTTGTGGGAGGGATGGAAGAGTAGATAAGGGAGGACACCTGGCAAGAAGAGATGGCCCTGAAAGTTTTACTATGAAGCCAGTGAGATGCCCTAACTACTGAGTAATGGTGAAATCAGCTAACTTTCTTGGTAAGAGCCCTCTGTCACAAGTGATAAACGATGTTTGCTACCTGAACAACTGGTGAAAAATTTTCAACTAAAAAGCAGCATATATGGTTAAAAAAAAAAAAAAAAATCTGCCTGGCTAGTTGTTTATCATCCAGACAACAGAAGAGACAAGAATTATAATTCTGAATCTAAGTTGACCAAGAAAGATAAACTGATTGCAAAAGAGGAAGTGCTGGGAGCCTCAAATGAAAGCAACAGGTAAGCTGGGAGAAGAATAAGGAACACAGTAAGAGCAGGGTTCAAACAGGGAAGAAGATAGGACCCAAGCTCACGGTCT